TTTTTCTAGGTGTTGTCTAGTTGTGTGAGTTTTTTTGAGTTGGCGTTTTGGAGAGTGGGGAGGAGGGGATTGGAGATGGGGATAGGAGGGGGTTTTTATATTTGGGGGGGAGGATTTGTTCTGGGTTGGGGAATCAGTTGGGTGGATGAACATTTCGTGATGAGTCTTGGAATTTCTTTGTTTGTTGGGGGTCGAACAACAGCTGGGGATGCTAATAATGGAACGAGTTGCGCTTTGTGATGGGACAAGTTCATTGTTCTGCAATACTCGGTACTGCAATACATATCTTGGGACGAAGAATTGTCTAGAATGTGAACTGTTCATGGGATGGGAATTGTTTATGAGAATGGGGTGTTCAATGAGATGAGGATTGTTCATGAGATCAGGAATCTTCACGAGAAAGGAATTGTTCATGGGATAAGAGACATTCATGAGAGCGTATCACTCATAGAATGAGATATCCATGACATTAGCATTGTTCACAGAATGCGAATTGTTCAAATTTTGTCAAAGAACTCAACAGTGATTATAATCGAATACCACCAAATCCCACCAACGAAAGTTATCTGCACCACGATATCTCTAAAATCATGGGGGCCTTCGGATCAAGATTCGGCACCAAAACAGATACAAAAATATTTTCTTGAATATCATTCTTATCTAAAGCACTCGGTAGCCGCCGACGTACTTGCGACAGACTGATTACCCAGAAAGTCATTTTACATGAACTACTCGGTCATCGAATCCCCCGCCAAACCGCCCCTAAAATCTAAAAATTGGCCCCGGCAGGTTTTTTGCCCTGGGACGTAAACCTTGAATCTGCTTCTTCAAAAAGCTTCCAATGATCCAATTCTCTTTCCTTTAAGCTTTGCCATTCCAATATCGTAATATCCAATGATTTCAATGTTCCTTACGTTCAAGACGTACTTCAGAACGTAATGATCTTAGCTCCGGCGGTATATTGACAATTATATGTGAATCTTTCTTTTGGAATAATAAATGATGGGCCAGTTGTGGAAGATTTATCCGAGAAATATATCTTGGCATTCTTCATAGGCTCTTTCTCTAGGGAACCATGATCCATGAATTTTATTCTGTCTGCAAGCTCCGAGGGGGATGCTGCAGCAGCTTCAACAACTGGTGGGATATCTTGGACAATGGCTTGACTGTAGCAGATATTCAGTGAACGAAGTTTCAGGAACCAAAGTGGCCAGAGTGAACCAAAGGGGAGGAAATACAATCAAATCTAAAATCAAATCTAAGATCAAGATCCTAGCTTCACGACTTAATTTTCGCTAGAATGTATAAGATATGAAGTACCAGCATATTACTCGACATCCCTGAATGTATCATACTCCAAATTTAACATTTTATTGAATATCTTAGGTGGCGAACCACTCACTCATAGGGGCTTTATCGTGGAAAACGAACATCTCTTATTGGGAACGTGATACCTTCATCGAATTGAATGGTAGAACTATCATACAGATCCCAAGCCAGCGAAGTGCGTGATATCTTAAAACAACAGTGAAGATTGCCACAGCTTTGCGTATGAGAGGACGGCGAAAAAATAAGGTGATGGTCATGATGCCCCCCTCTCCCTAGGCAAACTTTGAGGAAGAATGTACTGACGTTTGCTTATCAGAACATAGCTGTTCATTGTGAAGTTGAAGGAATCTGGTTCGTGGCAGTTTAAGCAACCATCCATATTCGCCATGACCTACTAGAAAGACGTGAGTGGGTTTGGGGAACACTGTGGCAATTAAGCGGTGTCCGCAGAACACTCCCGTGAGTGATCATCACAATATCGTTCCTCTCACGGGGATTGAGCTAACGTCAAATCATAGGGATACTCCCCATCTCCCTATTATCAAGTAGCTCTTGCGTGGCTACAGCCGGAATACGGCGGACGATGACATATTGTAGAGCATGTGTGCAACTCGCCTGCATCAAATCTTGGGCGAACAATGAATGTGTGTGAAGTAATGTGCACCCAAATAGACGAGCATATGTGCGTGTCAGGTGGGTAAAAGTCGATCAATTGACTGATGAATGGAAAGCAGGTGAGAAGACCAACAGTACCATCTTGGCACAGTTGTAGAGAGCAAACTAAGGAGATATTAACCTATTCCTTTAAATACAATGAGGCACATCGAAGACATAATGAAGTTTTGTGATCTAAGACAGCATTTCAAAGGTCCTAGACCAGTAAAGCGTCTCCAAGATAGATATAAGTCTCAGCTTGAGATCAAAACTACTCAGGTTGAATTCAATGCTGAGTCAAAAGATTGTCCTGATCTTTTTAATGTTATGATGACTTCAAGTGGAGGATACAGAGAGATGGGAGAAAAGTAGTCAACGAAATCAGAGCTCAATTTCAGCCACATCATACACTAAAACCAACACACCGCCACACCGCCACATTTCCGCGAATTACTTGGTCGCATTTACATTTCAACGCGTCCCTCGCTCCAAGGAATTTCCATTAACCAACGTCAACTTCAATTTCGACTTCGACCTCAATATTTATCAATACAATCAAAAAATCGGTTTTACCATTGTGATTATCATCATTTTATCAATTTAAAATCCCAAAGCACGATAACATAGCGCAAATGGCGGACTACTCCCAACTCAAGGTTCCTGAACTCAAGAAGCTTCTTCAGGAGAAGTCCTTACCAATCTCCGGAAACAAAGCAGATCTCATTGGAAGATTACAAGAATCTGAACAGAAGCCAGCTGGTGAAGCTACAGGTATGTTCCAATTAGGAATCGCGATTTGAGAAACTTAAAGCTGAGAATTCTTAGCAGCCGCCACAGGAGAGGATGAAATCGATTGGGACGAAGATGACGAGAAGAAAGCTACAATAACTGCCGACGCCGCCATGACAGCAGCTGGAGGCAAAGAAGATGTTTCAAACCCTACGAAAGTCCCCAATCAAGAACCCGCGATCGATCCTGCCAAGACAACAGATTTAGAAGTGACTGGAGGAGAGGGTGTTCCGACAGCTGAAGATGGTGCCGCAGCAGCTTCAGGTCCTACAGATACAGAAGTCGCACCTGTACCAGAAGCACCAAAACAAGACTTTAGCGCCGGAATCGAAAAGTCTGATGCACAGAAGGAGGCAGAGAAACGTGCTGCAAGAGCCAAGAGATTTAATATGGCGGAGGACGAAGAGGCAGCAAAATTGACAGAACGTGCGAAGAAGTTTGGTTTGGATAATAGCAAGATTGTTGAGGGATTGGATAGCGCATTACCGGACAAAAGACAAAAGAGAGCCCGCGAAGATGGTAGACAAGGAGGAAGAAATGCGAAAAGACAAACACCGGATAGGAGATCACAACCTGCCCCAAAGCAAACGCAGAATTCTGGTCCAAAAAAGGCTACAGGAGGACGTGTTACAGATAACCCAGATGAGAAGGCAAAGGCGGAACGTAGAGCAAAGAGATTTGCGACTACCGAATAAAGGGAGACATACGAAGGTGCCACACAGCTATCTATCGCATTACGATTAGCTAGCGTTACTGTATACTAGTGATTTTTCTTACCACGGATGTCAGCGGCCTTAAGCATTTTCGGAATACCACAATTGGTTTCCTTCCTTGTTCTGGATCCTGTGTACGCTTCGATTTTCCAATTATACGTCTACTCTGCCCGTGCATTATAATCCAGTGCCAGTTCCACGAGGACTTTTTGCAGACGTCTCTTTTCTATTTCAATGGTTATCAACATCTCGGTGCAAGGTCCAGGTCTCGGTCAAACTTCATTTTGAGGATGCAATGTTTCAACTCCTTTATATTTGGGAGCATGAGAAGGAATCAATAACTGCTTGTGATTTGGGTAAGAGATATAATAGGTTTTGATAGTGCCTAGGGAATTGCCACTCAATATTCTACGACCAACGGTTATCCTTCGAGCTTCCCGAAGGATCTGCAATACCCCTTGATGTCACCAAGTACCGCGAATGGGACTTACGAAATGCCGTTCGCAGATGTAATAGGACTACTAGATAGAGTGCTGATGGGGCATAAGAAACACAAAAAGGCATACAATCCGGCGCCAGTAAGGGTCATCTTGGATCAACATTCCAACCATCCAATGGCTTCACATGCGTGTAGGTTTTCCTTTCGGTACGACATCGATGTTCCAGAAAATAGGAATCAGATGAAGGAAACATGGTTTACAACCACCCACTGCGTCGTCACGTTACTGATTAGGACCCGAAGTTAAGGGAAGCAGCCCACCATCAGTTATCCAATTAGAAGCTATAGAACCCTGCTCAATTAGTTTCCATCTCCCGTGGCTTGAAAATAATTCGGTCCCATTCCTAGAAAAGGGTTTCTTCGGGTTATCTTTGAGCGTCCCATCAATTCCATCACAGTTGTTGATATCAAAAAAAGAATTTGCCTGCCAACGCACTGAGAAAGTTCCAACGGGTTTGTTCAAACTTCAGACAAACTGTAAAGCTGTTGGTATTATTATTCCAAGCTGTGGCGTTCACCGTCATCGTATATTATGTACTTCGCCACAGTCCCCAGTGATTTGCGCCGCCAACGCACAGTCGCCATCCGCTATTGCAAAAACTCAGCTTGCTTGTCCAAGGAACAGAGATCTTTGAATATCGGTACGTAGGTACCTTCAGGGCGTTCTCAGGCCACCAAATGGAACGTGAGAAAAACTTCACGATGCCTCAGCCTCAGCCTCAATTGCCAACAAGTTGAATCTGCAGGTGCCGGAGTCATCGCAAATATCACGACCAAATTGTTGACCCAGATTTATAGCTCCGTATTTTGTGACTGGTAGGTATCCATATCCATGGGAAGGTCTTGCCGTGATTTGATATCCTTGCATCGCCCGTGCCATTATTGAACTAATTGTGTTGACACTGGACAGTCCCGTTCAGTCATTTTCCACATTTGTCAAAATTCATGAGATATCCGATTGATGATAGGTACATTTGATGGATTCACTCATTAGAGAAAAACCTTATTTTCCTCTTTGGGCAATTTCGTGGGCGGCTTGATGAGGGGATCTTCCACAATGGTTGGATAGAAATAATTTCCTTGTGGCCAGTCGAGGGCTAGGGATATCTAGCTAGGGACTATCAAGGATTTCAGGGGTATGCCGAGCCATATTACCCATATCGCCTAACGGTCAAATCGCATTCACGACTGTTTATGTCTAGACGATCCTGAAAGGATCAGCATTGATGATGGGGAGAACTATACGGATAAACATGTTTCTCACTCATCTTACGAGAAGAAGCATTTGATATTAGCCCAAGAGCGGGTTGAAGGATAAAGGTTAATTCGACCCAGTCCGCTACCAGGCTCAGGGCCTCATATTAGGTCTTATAGGCTTAGATACCGTATCATTCATCTAAACCCCGGATTTTTAGTGTTGAGCTGGGCACAATGTGAGAGGCTAGTTTACGGGGATAGTCGCTGAAAGCTGATGTCGTCTAGTCATCTGTGTAAGGCGCTTGATAATGACAACCCATTATGGTACAGACTGTTTAATGACAACAGTGAGGGAGGACGTAACCAAGTACAATGTTACCAACTAATCAAGTACCGGTACCAACATATGATTGCAGAAGCGCAAGACCCGCCAGCACACGGCGAATATCACCAACTTGTGCAACAAACAAGCGCGCCTCAAACTACGAAATTTCGATCATCATGAACCAATTGAGTTTACGAATCACACAATCCAGCAAATTTTTTCTCAATTTGTTACTTTGGCTTTCTCGCCGGTGTGACCTTGTTGCACCCGACGAATGATGACTTGGCGTTTAACAAGAAACCCCTCAATCGGATATTAACCCAAAATTGACTCGTTCATAGCAATGGTGGGAAAAATTAGCTAGGTTTATTCGAAAGCAATTATGCCTCACCAAGCTTCATCGTTCACCAATGGGTTTATTATGAGGCCCAAGAAGCATATCATAGGCTTCAAATACATCCTGTACTTGACCGTTCGGCGCAACTCAACATAAATAACGATATCTTACAGGGCTCTGCAGCTCATCATGTGGATTTTGTGGGCTTGAGGATTTCCATTTTTGCCCTGCTTTCCATAATGTAGATAACCTCACAGGACCCGAGAATTCTTCCTAAGATTCACGACTCGATTGAGGAATGACGAGCGAATCTTTAATTCCTTTTTATATCTCTGGCCTCAGTCAACTTGTCACTAAGCTATTTTCATATCAAGATCTTCGTCTCATCGGCTACTCCAGAGGCACAGTCATATGTGCCTGGGTTTTGATCGAGAAAGAGACCTAATCCTTTATACAATGGCCGACCATATGGGCGGCCTCAGTAATGAGAACGCCACAAAGTAAGTACCGGGCATGACCGCAGAACAGCCTATTAACTAAGCTATGTGTATCTCTCTACCGCAGACCCCCCCGGTTCTTGGGTCTTGGGTTTCAATCTATGCCTACGTTCTCCATACATATACTTTGCATACATCCAAAACGAATGGTGGAATAGTACACTTACGTTACGTCCCGCACTTATAGTACAACCAAAAATAAATGAATAACGAGCTCCGTTAAGCTGCAGACAAAAATCTCAATCGCCAGTGGCTCATCATCTTCGACTAAAGTGTCGTCTCCATTATTCAACGGAAGCTATAGGATGACAAGTCCCCACACTCTAGGCCTTATCCTTCCCGCTAAGTGCGACCCTTATTATCAACCACAACGAATCCTCGAATATTCTTAAGGAAAATCGCCGGCATTTTTCTTCTCTTTTCTCTTTTTGCTTCCGACTCCTACATACCCGTCAAGTTTAATTTTCGTTGCATACATTTCCTACAGCTCTGTTTTGTGTTGAGATACCCTGAGATACCCTACCCTGGCGGTGATCCATCCATACGTTTTTCATTACCATTTTGTTGCCTTCACGTGCTTGAATACAAGTATATTGGCCACCACCTAATTTCCTGTGCCATTGCGACCACACCATCTCAGGATATCAATATTCCTATGCAGTAAATACTTCAATTAGACCAAGACCTTCACACGGTTTAATCCAAAAAGGTTGTAAAGAGGTATGAGTCTTACATCTTCTCTCCTCTGCCAAACTGCTCACTAGTTTTAGTTTTGAGATTTTTTTAATACTTTTCCTTAGGAGAATAAGCCTGGTCATCACATAATATAGATCAAATGCCAAGCATGTACCCTTGCTGCTGTTTATAACCACAGGTGGATCCCATACATTATTCTGAAGAATGTTAGTTGAAGCAAGACGTCATGGCTTCCAACAATATGCAATTCGGTCTACCAGCCAGACCACATGTCACTGTATCGCAAAGAATGATTCCACGCCATATCCAGTCACAAGAAGCCTCCAAGCCAAGGGAATTGACAGGGGATAGTGCGTATATTCAATCAAGAAAAGAGCGAAGAAGGGCGAATCTGGAGATTAGTCAGGAGACATATCTGCCTCGACCGAGCATACGACAACCTTCTCCGGTACCGAGATCAAAGTCTGAGACCGGATCCAGAGGATCAATGGCCTTCCCATTGGAGTTTAGAAGCCGTTTTGATAGAGATGTTTCTAGTCCACCTCCCATTCCGCCCGTCAGAGGAAAACTATCTCGAAACGTTTTGAGGAGAAAGGCCTCTTCGATAGCTCAACATGCCGAGGTTAGTCGACCTACGACAGCTAGGACAGCAACTAGCTCTCCTGCTAGTTGGGGGCAGGTATCGGGACATAAACTTGTTACTCAAACTTCAATTGAACCAGTGCCTCCGCGTGCTGAAACCTCACAGCGAGCTCAAAAGGTTTCGACTTCTTCCATCAAGGAGGTTCCACGGGTAATACCAGAGTTGGATAGATATCGAACAAAACCAGAACAACATCGCGAAGAATTGAATGCCAGATTCAGGTCCAATATTCCTTACAAGTTAACGACTCCTGATATATCCCCTCCTACCCCTTCGATATCCGCAGGTTTCGTAAGTTCGGGTTCCAGTCACAAGAGACATAGTGGTTACAGTGGAAGTGGATATAGCGCAAGTCCTTCGACAAGATTTTCGGAATCTCCAGGTCCAAGCGCCTATAGCAGAGATACGACTCCTACCTCGATGTCATCAGTATCGCCTAGCATTCTCGTGCCTTTCAAGTCTAGCATTCCAAATCGTAGAGGAAGTAGTCCCACTAGGAATCGACCACCTCTTACCCGAAGACGTGAGAGTAATGCATCAAATGAGTTTGACGATGCGATTGTCGATTCACGTGGACTACCCTCGTTGCGAGAGTCTGTTAATTCATCATCATCCAATTCAACAGTCAAAGCCGATGGATTGGCTCGGGATAAGGCACATAAGAAGAAGAAGTCATTGTCTCCCCTTCCACCTAGTCCACCACCTCGTAAGTCTTCCCATCAATACAAGAAGCTGCCCCAGGAGGAAATGTCACCAGCCAGGGCAAACCCAAACCCACCATGCACAGGACCCACTATATCTCCAAAAGCATCGCCTCATAGGTTGCCAGCTCCATCAATAGAGGTACATGATAGACCCTTTCCCCCGAGAAGGCCTAGCAGAGATGGTGCCCCGGATCTGAGATCTCAGATTGGAGACTTTGCAGTACTTCAAAGCAACTTTACTGGCATGCAGTATACACATAACAAAAACAATAGCATTTCTTCTCAGAGAGCAGCTCCCTCTCCTCTTCAGACTTTAATGACAACAGCGTCACGAGAGACCTCACGGAATCCATCTCCAGCTCCACTCCAACCACCACACCGTGATCAGACTCCAGCACCAACGGGCCTTGGACTAATCCCAAATCTCAGGCCGCCTTCTCGTGGCCGTATAACTCGAGCGCCAAGTCCAAGTGTAGACAGTGGAAAGCACCGCTTTGGACTATTCAGTCGACGGACAAAGACTACTCCTGAAGTCACAAGTGTTCCCGTGGAGAAGCCTCAAAAGAAAGGGCCCGCTGCAGGTACTGGCCATGAAGGTTATACAAGATATGCATTACGCGGACGTAGCACTACTGTGGTAACCACAGGGAAACCTCGAGAAAGAAGCCTAAGCGGAGCTCCAATTTCTAGAGAACAATTAGATGCCACGGATCCATTCTTTAGAGATCGAATGAGCCCTGTAATCATAGCTGGTGGTGGTGCGATAAAAGAGAATTGGAACTCTAGTTCTGAAATTAGTCGGACAGAAAGCAATACGAGTCGTCCTCCACTGACCAAGAATATCTCTCAGGTCAGCATGAGTCAAAAGACACCCGAAGCTGTTCTACAACCGTCAGCCATTCCAAAAGAAAGCAACAATGGGACGTCCGCTATAGCCATTTCCAAACTTAGAAGATCCTCCGACATTCAGGATGAAGATCATCTAGATAAGCCATCCCTTGCATTCCGGAGATCGATCCAACGTCTCAATAACCCGACTAGTGCCTTAAAGATCCCAAAGCCACTCAATGTCACAACGAAGGATCTTTCATCTTCTATGAGCAGCCACGATCCTAGCTTGGTGTCTGGAGAATCACAACTAGAATTAAAGGACGTCAACGAGCGCGAAACTCACGCTTCAATTATCAAGCCGAAGAAACTAGAAAAGCGGACAAGGTCACCCCGGAAGTGGAATTTCTTTCATCGACAAGCCCCAAAAGTAGAAATCGAGATCAAACATGATGCAGTACCTGTCACTATTGGTAGACAACCTGTTAAACCGATACCACACTACGCTATGTTCGAATTTTCTGATGAGCCAGAAGATACCGATAGTGTGGATCTAGCAGAAATCCTTAGAGATTCGGAAGTTGTGGTTTTAACTGATGAACAATTGAATGAACTTCAGTCTAGTAATTACAAGGAAAACATCCGACGTATCGAAGAACTTCAAACAGCCATGGCACCTTCACTCCCCGAGATGATACCAGCAACTGTTGTTTTATCTTTGCCGGAACCAATGATGCCTCCATCACCACAGGTCCCTCAGACACAGATCGAAACGCATATTCCCAGAGAAGTCACACCTGTTCGACCAAGTCGCCTCCAACAAGTTGGCCGAATCCCAAAGGTCATTTCTGCAAGACCTGAAGCTACATCTCCGATATCTTTCTCAAGACCATTTGCGCGGTTGAGCACTATACAACCTACGTTGAATTTACCTTCATTTGATGTTGACTCGGTTGCATTAGGAGCAAGTCCACCAAAGTTTTCTAGTCCTGAAACTTATCCAGCACAGTTCAGCAGTCCTTCCTCCTACCAACAAGAATTCCTTGCTTTTTCCCCCAGAAGCTCTCCCAGAAATAACTCTACAGCTACGGCGAGTAGTTCCAGCACAATCAACTGTGCCGATATCACGGCAATCATTCCCGAGCCTGACGCGGCGTTGGCAGAAGATGAAGTATGGAATGAATACGATGACTTGATCGAAGCTGATGGTACGCCAAAACAAGCACGAATTATTTCCACAACATCATCTTATGGTGTTCCATTCCAATATGAAACGTATCAGAGTCCCTCCTCTCGCATTCTCAAGCCGAGCCTTCAAGCTTCTCCTTTTCCGAACCGCGAATTACCTGAAATTCCACGTCGAAGATCGGCCATTACATCCATATCATCGAGTTGTTATAGCGTTGATGTGGACACTACCATCAAAGTTGAAGACAAAGATACACCGAACCCCATTCCAACGCCCACCAGGGCCGCCACTCCAGTATCTTTCTCTGAGCTGTTCAACGGATACGGCGAGCGTAACAATTCCATCCACTCATCTAATTTCCAACGGATCTCCGCAGTTGAATCACGAAAATCCGGTTCTTCCAGTAACTCATCCCGGATTTCAGGAGCTAGTCTCATGAGAATCGAATCTGAAGAAAGCAACTATCCAATTTCGCAGGTGAACCTGAGGGTAGGAAGTTTGAGTGTTAGTAAATGGCTTACATTTGGGAATGTACTGTTTAGTCCGGCTAGAGATGAAGTAGGTAACTTGATGGATGGACCCAGGACGAAATGTCATTCCATTTTAGTTATTGATGGACTTGGCAATGGTATGTTCAACCCCACAATTTCTTTGCAGGAAATGGAGCTAATAATAATCTAGACGACTGGTCGTTCTACGCCGCTGAAACTTATCCAGCTTGTACATTCTACAACCTCTCGCCCACAGCCCCACCTCCACCCACAAGCACTCGAAACCCAACCTACCCCCTCCCGCCGGCAAACCACCGGCAAACCCCATTCTCCCCCACAACCTCCCTCGCGAAATTTCCCTTCCCCTCCTCTACTTTCTCCACAGTAATCTTTCGCTTCCCCTCCTCCCTCACAAGCCAAAGCTACAACCACATTCTGTCCGAATCGCGTCGGGTCCTCAAACCTGGTGGATACATCGAAATCACGCTTCTCGATTTAGACATGTTGAACATGGGACCTCGCACTCGACGCGCCGTGCGCACCTTAAAAACGAAATTGAAGTGTCGGGATGAGGGGGTCGTGTTGGGGAGTTTAGGGGATTTGGTTCTTCGGGGGTTGGGGGCCAGAGGGTTTGGAGATGTGAAGACTTGTCGTGTTGGTATTCCGGTTGTGGGGGTGTTGGGGCGGGTTAAATATGGGAAGGAGAAGGAGAAGAAAAAGGGGAAGGGGAAGGGGAAGGGGAAGGCAAAAGAAAGAGAGGGAGAGAAAGAACCGCCGAAGAAAAAACAAAAAGACTCGCGCAGTTTGGCCGAAATGATTAATGATGAATCGGAATCGGCTGATGAGAGTATTACGCGCATGGTTGCGAAGGTGGGGAGGTGGTGGTATATGCGTTGTTATGAATCTTCTTTAATCGCATCTGCATCGGTCTCAGCATCCGCATCAGCATCAGCATCAGCATCCAAGAAAGAAAAGAACAAACTTGGAAAAGAGAGAAAAGAAAAAGAAAGGGAAGTCAAGAGTATCTTTACAGATATTAACATTCTAGATGAATGCGAGAAGTGGAATGCGAGTTTTCAATTGGTGGTTATTCATGCGCAGAAACCGGTTGTGGTTAGGAGGAGGACTAATAGTGTTTGAGGTTTTTTTTACTCTGTTGGTTGATAGTGGTTTGGTACTATACTGGAGGTGAGGGAAAAAGGTGATGGGAGAGGGGAAGGGGTTGATGAAGGGGGTAAATGCATGATATGATGGACAAAAGAAAGAAAGAAAAAGATATATGGGTAGGTATGGGTGCGAACCCAGTTTTGTATAGAGATTCCTTTTTTTTTCTTTGCCTTTTACTTTTTACTCTTACGTTCATGAAGATCACGGGTTGGCTATTGGCGATTAGCGATTTGAAATTGCGAGTTTGGGATATTTTTTGGGTTGGGGATGGGATGGGATGTCATGTCAGTGATGAATTATGATGAAGTTATGAATTTGGTTTTTGGTTTTATGGATGTTATGATTTGGGTGGGTGATTTGAGTGGGTGGGTGATTTGAAATGGGTGGAAGTTTAATTTTAATATGTTGGAGTGTATGTATGTATGCGAGGGGAAAGTGAGGGGAAAGTTTTGGGAGGGGTAGGGGGAGAGAAGTAAAAGGGGGGGAGGTGGGTACGCGAAGAATGTGAAGAATGTTTACGAGTAAAGATACCCATTTACATTTATACAGAGCTATATTCGAGTAGCTACTATAGCTAGTAAATAAACAAAAGAACAAATTAAATACAAAATAAATTGAAAATTAAGTACAAATACATGGATCGTACTAACTAGGTGGATGATTTCCATTTCCATTTCCATTTCCAAAATACCTATACTACATCATATCATATCAGGAGTAGAATAGCTACATTGACCTACTAACTAATTAACTAGCTCGTACAGAGAGATGACATTTATCAATCAATCAATCAATCAATCAATCACTCGACTATAGTAGATGATCGTTGTTCTTGAACCGAAATCTACTTGTACTAGTACAGTATATCAAGAATCCTTTTCTTTTTTCCACTTGCCTCTCTCAGCTTCTAGATTCAGACTCCTGTTTATAATATTAATATCGGTATTAGTGTTAGTGTTATACAACTAGCTAGGAATATGTACTGTATACTTAAATGTATATATACTACAATCTAACCCCAATCTCAATCTCAATCTCAATCTCAATCTCAATCTCAATCTCAATTCCAAATTCCCAATCTCTAGTAGAGAAGCCACTATAGATCAACATCTATACCGTAAAGCTGGCAGGAACCATATATAACGACGGTATGGAACTCTACTAGTCTAGTGCCTGAATCTAGCGCCTAGAGTCTAGTCAGTGCCTCGAACTCGTATATCAATATTTATTTCAAATCTAATCTAATCTCAAATTAATGTTTCACTTGGATTATCTACTGGTATCTATTTACTCATATCTACTCGCTAAATATACATAGACTTTATATATATATTACATCACTTCTCTCTCTCTCTATCCTATACATATCCCATTCCCTAGGTCTTCGAACCCTTACCTTCACCCAAAGTAGGCGAAGCAGGCGATGCAGGTGATATAGGTGAAAGAACCGCACCCGTACCTGTACTCGTACCCGTACCATCCATCCCCAATCCCCCCATCCCCCTACTCTTCCCACCCTCCCCATCACCACTCAATTCCCCCACCGGTCTCATGCCCGACATTTCATACTGTCTTTCCGGCGCATACATTTCATACGCGATATTTTCCATCGGCGCAACTTGTGAATAATCCGCCGTAGAAGCCGAAGAATTATTATCCACGGGGATTTTCTCATCCGGGCCTTGTTCGTACACCGTGTATTCATTATTTCTCGCCTGTTTTCTTCTGCGGTTGAAGAAGTATGCTGCGGCTAGTGTGAAGAGGACGGCTAGGCCGATTGCTATGCCTATTCCTACTTTGGCTCCGGGGGAGAGGGTACTTTTGGGGGTTTTTGTGTTCGAGGAGGTGGTTGTGGAGGTGGATTCGGGATTATCGTTCGAGCTGGCGTTTGATGAGGGGGTGGGATTTGATGTGGTTGTTGCATCGTTATTATTCGACGACCCAGTAGGAGTCGATGTCGATGTTGCTGTAGTCGTAGTATCCAATCCCCACGTTGTAGGCGTCGCCAGTTTAATTTGGTCCACGTTAAAATGCGGACTATTAGCCCCCAGACCCCCCGTACTATTTGGTTTTAAATCTACCCAACACGGTGAACCACCTAGGAATTTGAGCTTGACGGTTTCGGTGCTATTGTAGGCGGTGACTAAAACTTGGCTTTCTGTTGTGAGAAAGAGAGGATTTTGATTAGTTTTCTGGTGATGTTTTCGTAGTTTGATTTAATCATGATGGGAAATGATGTTAGAATCTTACCGATGATTAATGCAGATGTAGCATCTGTCATATTCTGGCAAAAGATCCAAAATTGCGGTGTTGAAAATGGAGACGTGTAGGTTACATTAATGGTATCAAGATAATTGAACGAGAGGTTTGCCGTTGGATAAAGAAACACCACTCCATGATCATCCGCAATAGCATATTCTAAGCTCAACCAAAAGCAAAGAAGCTTCAAGATATGATTGCGTGCATACATCCTCCTGATTGCGTATTTTCGACGTCTTAGTCCAAGGTACTCTTACACTGAGTGAGGATCACAGATTCATCAATGACAAAAAGTCCACGTTAGATGTCAGATGGATAACGTGAAAGATTTGAAGTTTTTCTAATAACGTGGGAGGAGTGAGCCCTCATGGATTAGAAGAACTAGGGCCTTGCCCAGACCATAGATGGGATGGGATGGGATTCCTCCTTTGTAGCCATGGATATTTTATCTAAAATAGTGGAGATTCTGATACTTTCAGCCTCTTGCCAGTTCATCAATTCTTCTTTATACAGAATCAAGCGATGAAGATGAAGATAAATTAAGATGAGATAGGGGCACGTGGAACAATAAGCTTAGCTTGGCTAATTTGATCTGATTCACCAATCATAATACAGATAATATTCAACCATCCCCGCTCTATGTAAAAATACCCCAGAAGGGAAGATAATTGGACCAATTAGAAATGATACTGCGCATTATTATTACGTAATATGTTTCGGATAATGATATTAGTCAAGAATATAAGCTTATATAGCAATTATATATTTTTATATCTACTCGAGGTTATCTCGATCTTTAAACCAAGTCTCGAATCTCGACTCTCGAATCCCAAAGTATCATTTATTACTCGAGTATATATCAATTAGCAACCTTATTACCTGTTTTATTACCCGGTATACTCGTAAAATATCTATAAATACATACTAGTACTCAACAACACCGACACACCAACCGGTGAGGTGAGTATTGGGGTCCAAGTGGCGCAACCACGTTTCATACATTTCTACTCATTTCAATAAAGCAGGATCACAGAAGATAATCCTCAGCGTTTGGTGTAAATCTAGAATACAACAAGTATCACATTTGCCAAGTCTTTTGCCAAGTCTTTTACCGCCCAAATTATATACAACTAGTACTAGTACTTATGGCGGTAATACTACTCTACTTTACGTACTCGAGTAAACGCTTCTTAGATGTTTTTCTTCAGTATAAAATTTAATATTGATCCAACATACTCGAGTATATATAATACGGTATTGCCACCGCAATCTCTAAGGATGATTAGGATGGTTATAGCTAGTTTTATATTCAATCCTTCCTTCTATAATGTATATACAACTTGCAGTCTGGATTAGTATCCAAACACTTTAGTCTTATTATAAAAGCGATCGATTCAATCGATATCTTCTTGCGGGGTATTCTGCTCGAGTACTGAGTATACCCTGAAGGTTTCTAGAAAAGTTCGAATTGATATGAGATATTAAAGGGTAGGCAGTCTCGGAAGGATGTATTATACATACTGTAATCTAATGTTAATAGGAGGAATCATTTTTTGGAGACGGCGAAAAGGGTAAAGAAGTTATACTCATTAGTTGTTGGAAAATCATTAGGTTCAATTATATAGTTTATAATGTTATCCGAGTAGAGTAGTCTTCACAACCTGGAGTTAACAAAGTCGATTTTCTGGATCTAGACATTATTATTCGATGTATGTCGTACTAGTTAGTGGTCGACATCCGAAATATTAATCATCTTATTATACAAATCCAATATACTTGTACTATGCGAATACTGTTGTTTAGATTATTTTCAATGTTTATATCGTATCCAAATACTGTACTCGAGTACTATATTGTTATATATATCTAAAGATAAATAGATTAATTGCTGCTCAAATCTCTCACCGAAAAGAGGATATGTTATACTCTACTCGTACAAACTCCAGTATAAACTCGTTCTTATCTTACCTAAATTCGAATAATAATAAAGTATCCCTCTCTTCATTTTTCCTTTCCTTCCCATTCCACATCTTTCCTTGAAATATATAAATATATATATATATATCTCCAAGACCTTCAAAACCCGCTTCATCAATCAGAGAATTCTATTCTCCTCTACTCGACTACACAAATATATACTCGAGTAGTAGCTTCATTGCTTCAAATACTAGTAAGTTGTATATAACCATTTTTTCTTTTCTTCATTCCCTCATTTCTTCATTTCTTTATTTCATTCTTTCCATATAGAAACCACCAACACTACCACCACCACCGCATCGGCACTCATCACAAAGAGGCACACTGAGTTTTTTTTAAAAGAATTCCACATTCATCTTCAATCTTCATATTGATATTTAGGTTCAGGTTCACTTTATTGGATGGAGTAGCTACACCGGTACCTGGAATCTTGTGCATATACTCGATTATATAAATATGAGTATATTTGTGTGTTATGTCAATATACTGAGTAACAAATACAATATCGATACCGAGTATAATGAGATGTTTTGATTTTATATTGTTTAATTTCTATATTTATATTTACAGGATATCAAATGGTAATATATATGTGTGTATCTATCTAATATACTCGAGTATAATACAACCGGTATTTATCCCACTATCCCACTATCCCAGCATTCCAATTCCAACTCCGAAATCAACTCTAACCTTTCTCTAATCCTCTCATCCCCTCCCATTCTCTCCCCTCTCATCCCATCCCACCCCTATTTCTCCCCCCAATTTCCCCTCGCCCACTCCCTTAAAACATTTTTCTGAACCTTCCCCGTACTCGTCTTTGGCAATTCCTTCACCACCACCACCTCTTTCGGTACCATAAACCTACTAATACTACTTTCCTCCTTCGCCCACCTCACTACATCTTCACCCTTCAGCTCTCCACCTTCACCCTCCCCCTCCCTAACAGTAACAAAAGCCACCGGTCTCTCCCCCCACATCTCATCCTTAACCGCCACGACCCCCGCCTCCAACACCCTCCCATGCTGCACCAACATCGCCTCCAACGCCACACTACTAATATTTTCACCCCCACTAATGATAATATCCTTCGCGCGATCCAGAATCTGCGCACTACCATCCTCATGCCAGACGGCCAAATCCCCACTATGCAACGCGCCACCTGCGAAAAGTTTTGCAGTCGCCTCTTCATCATTATAATACTCTTTCGCGCAGATATTTCCCAAGAAGATAATTTCGCCTATTTCTTTACCGTCGCGCGCGACGTCGATGAGGACGTTGGGGGGTTGATCGGGTTTGATGATGCGGATATTGAGGGAGGTGAGGAAACCGTGGCCTTGGCGCGCCATACGGGCGTATTTTTCTTTCGAGGGAAGATTCTCCCAGATGGGCATGTGGTAGCCTTTGGTGATGGGGCCGTATGTTTCGGTCATGCCGTAGACGTGAACTGGGATGAGATTGAGATTGGTCATGGTTTCGAAAAGATGGGCTGTAGGTGGTGATGCGGCGACAGTGACGCGGATGGGATTGGCGAGTTTGGTTGCTTCTTTGGAGGCGCAAAGGAGGGTGTTGACGGTAGGTGCGGCGTTGAAATGCGTGATGGGTTGGGTCTTTAATAGTTTCCATATGAGAGGATAGTCGATTTTGCGTAGACAGAAATGGGTACCCCTAACAGCTGTGACGGCCCAAGGGAATGTCCAGCCTACTGCATGAAACATGGGAAGTGTCCAAAGATATCCACATCGACCTTTATGGAAATTCAATCCCGATTCCACCACATTTCCCATAGTCGCAAGATACGCCCCTCGATGCGTATAAACCACTCCCTTCGGTTTCGCCGTCGTCCCACTCGTAAACGGAATTGCAATCGTACCGTCCTCATCATCAGCTTGCGCATGTAATCCCTCCCACCCCTTCCCTCCATTATCCCTATCACATTTCAATCCCTCTAAAACCGCCCGATCAAACTCTCCCTCATTTTGATCCGTATCCTCATCAACAATAATCCTCACCCCTCGATTCCTCTCCCTATATCCATCCAACAACCCCACAAACTCCCTATCTACAACAATACAATCCACCCCCGCAAACTCAAAAATATAAATAATATCCTCCTCCTTCAACCGATAATTCACCCCCACATGTATAGCCCCCGCAGCCGCCACCCCAAAAATACTCTCGAGGAAAGCTGGGGTATTCGGGCATAGTATCCCGATGCGAGAAAGTTGGTGTTTCTTGAGATAATATGCTAAACCGCGGGAACGATCTGCAAATTCCTGATAGAAGCGTGTAATGGTTTGTCCGTTCGCAGTAACATGATGGATAGCTGGAGCATCGGGTTCAATGGCTGCTGCGCGAGGGAGAAAAAATGTAGGTGAGAGGGTATGTATGTGATGTTTTGGTGCTGGCGGCGACCCAGGAGACTTTGAGGATGTAGGAGTTGTTGAGGAGGGTCGTAAATGATTGACCAGGTTTTGTAGTCTAGAGGTAGGACCCGACATCTTCGTGATGTGCTTTGGTTGATCGGTCTGGTCTGGTGTGGTTTGGTTGATTCGAATGAATGCGATGGACTGGCTTCTAGATAATTTCGGTGATATATCCTTCAATAATCGTTACAATCTCTCAATCTCTCAGACTGTATAATAAAATCCTCGATATGTGAATACAGCTCTTCGAATTCCGCCGCGTGAGTGTTATCACCTATCTTATATTCTGTACAACTCAACGTAACAATCCGTCGCGGCGCCTTGCAAGTTTCGTATGAGCCTGTTTGTCGTATGAGCTTGTCCTTCCCGAAGCTACAGTTATCCGTAGGTACATATAACAATAAATCCCGCTCACTACTCGAGTAGATTTAAGAGTAGTTTCAATACTGTATGTATAAAGATCCAATACTCAAGTGAAAACAAATAGAAGTAAAAATAAAAACTAATCTCACTCAAAACAACAAACCTCCGTGTACCTCACCCAACCTTTATACCCACCCCATCATTCCATCCATATTCCATATTCCATTATTCTACACCACACCCACCTACCTACTCGAGTATCAGACTAACTTATCAGTACACAACCCCTTCCCTCCTTCTTTCCTTCCAAGTTCCTTCCTTAGCTTTTATTAGCTTAGCTTATACTCGAGTAGTTTATTATCATTTCATTTCGCTCCCTCTCCCGCAACAAAGTGGAGTAAAAGCTTTGTCTTACCCGTCTTACCCCACACACACGCACCACATAGTGGCACACACGCACCAACTACCCTCGGTAACTCAAAAGAAAAAGGAACTAATTCCGCCCCGCCCACCCGGCATCGCACAATCAGGGGTCCCGAGCGGGTATCAAAACTACCTAGTAGGTACATGATCATGATGATCGAGTCACGAAAAGTTGAATATCTTCAATGGGGGGGTCGTGGTGCATGGTTAGTGAGATATGGTTTTGTGGGATATGGATTATGGGGGGAAAGGGGGTGGATGGGGAGTGATCGCAGATCATTGGATGGGATGGGATGAATGTAGGAGATAGGAAATAGGAAATAGGAAATAGGAGATAAAAGGGACTGAACGGCACATCAATCAAATCGAGGCAGTTGATTGGTATCTCTTTTTGAGGTAGGAACCTTTGCTTCTAGCTATGGGTAAATCAGTCAAGCTGGTGAAGGTATCCAATAAATTACATCATGATGATCTTGTAGCTTGTTGCTTCAAAGACCTATCATACTCTTCTCCATAACTGCTTCTTGAAATTCACAAAGAATTAAAGTATCTTGTACCAAACCGATGCTCATTCATAAACTGTCTCTAATGGATTTCATAATTTTATTTCACAATTCCGTTTCCACTTCCACAACACCAAACGCAACGTATTCATTCTTGATTCATGCCTTGGGCTTTTCATTTTGTTATGAACTGCATGCAGCCGAAGCAATGCATATCAGAGTTCCTTGCTGCATCGTAATAATTTCCGTTGTAGCAATTCCCAATATCGTGTATGGTAAATGAATACCAGGCCTTGAGATCTCCCAATAATAGGTCGAACAAAGCATTGACGTTGTTATTGTTGAAATGAAGAAACCGTTAAAACAACCCAATCCTTCCACCCAGCAGCGCAAAATCACATCAAATAAGGTCCAGAACTTTAATAGCCGAGAGCAGCCAACTCAGTCTTGGTCTTATCATCGATCTTGGCGGACTTCTGGGCTACTGAGAGCTGCTTGCGTACTGCCTTCTTGCGTTCGTAGTATGCGGCACTCTTAACCTTTCTTCTCTCCTCAAGTCTATGATAATTGATTAGTGACCAATTCCATCAAATCTGGATTTTAATCGAATCCCAATAGCTTTACTAACCTCGCAACAACATCTTGGTATTTCCATCCGACCTCGTGGCTCAATCTGCCAACAGTGCAGTATTTGCGTCCAGGCTTCAATCTCAACACTCTCAAAGCTTGAGGAACGACAACGCGCTTAACTTTGTCGTATGGTGGTGGGACACCCTCGAAAACCTTAAGTCTCTCCATGGCGGCGGCACCACGGGCAGTCTTGTGAGGAATCATACCACGGACGGTCTTGTAGAAGATTCTGGATGGGGCACGGAAATGGAAAGGACCTATTGGAAAAGTGTCAGGATATCTTCCGTGTGTCGAATACGATCAATCGGAATTGGCGGATTGTAATAGCTTACCTCCACGGGTTGGGTTGTATCTGGTCATCTTTCGGAGGTAGGCGTGGTACTTGACTATTATCGAATTTGAATCAGCCTTCCATCACTTCACATATCCCATCCATGCGCGATGTCGATTCCATCATATCCAATTCCATCGCAGTTTCAAGTAAAGGTATAACGTACGCTTCGCACGGAAAAATTCTCCGGAGATGTTCAAGGCTTCACATCGTACAACGACGATCTTCTGGCCGTTAAGCAACTGCTTTGCAACAGTACTTGCAAGTCGACCAAGAAGGTGACCCTTGGCATCGATCGTGATCTAATAGAAGCAGTCCAATATCAGCAATTCGTTCCTATTCGTATCTCCCATGTCGCTGAGCTCAGAAGAACCATTTCCATTTGTTGTTGTTGCGATATCTTGAGTTCGGCTATAGTGGGCATTGATAAGGGATTGAGCACTTACGACTGGCTCGAAGGTCGACATCGTGTCCTGGATAAAATGTCAGAAGGAATTCGGAAGGCGTATAGAATATCAAAATGCTGTACCTTCGTTATTTGGTGAGGGCGGTGTCGTGTTTTGTCGGTTGGTCGTTGTCTTCAAATTCCTTTGCGATTCTCTCCAAATTGACACACGGTTTTCGCGCTAAAATATTAGCCGAATCCCAGGGCTCACAAACCTAACTTGAGTAATTGTAATATTCAATGAGACAAAATCCAGCTGTTGATGCATCAATTAATTTCTTCAATGGTAATGTCTATCTACTTTTATGTTGGGTTTACTCGGTTTTGATCCTGTACCGTCTTGTTGAAGTAATTGAAGTGAAGATAAATTTGTGGTTACAGCCTTGCCATGTACCGAACCAAATTTTCACATCAACCAAGCCTCGTCAACAATTGAAAGGCTGCAATTCCATTTGACCCTCATCTGAAATGGGAATGGTGACAACGATGAAGCCCCCTACCTTTTGAAAATTTAATTCATATCGTTAGGAAAGTAATAGGTTGTAGCACATTGTCCTGTCCTAGACCAATCCAAACAAACATCGGAACCATGTATTTGAATAGATGGATTAGAATGAATTGACGCTACTTGAGAATATCCAGGACCTGGATGGAGCTTTGAAGACTAATATCAATACTGAGACGATTATACTGAGACGATTGGAGTTATTGTATGGTAGTAGAATATCAAACAGTGAGATCGAATCACCTAGCAAAGAGTAAAGGAGTAGACGTATAGAAACCGCTGTGATGTCACATGTAGCGAAAGGCAAAAGGGGTGAAAAGGCAATATACCTCGTTCTGATCGACTTTCAATTCTCCTATTCTCTCCTTAATATAACACAGTCATATGGCATGCAGATGCATTTCCAATGTATCAGAGAAGTAGAAGTATCATGCTCCATACTGCACACCAAACGATCAGCCCCTCCCGCATCTTTCCCCTGCGGCAATGACGCCACCCCTGCCGTTTGTGCAGAATCCTTCCCCTCCCCTCCCATCGACAATTTATTAAAACCATTCTCATCTATAAAGACCCCATGGCACCTCGCCAGCATTGCAACTAATTCTGTCTAGAAGTGGAGAAGTGCGATCACACCCAGTATATGCATGACATCCATCCCATTCCCAATAGGATAAATTCCCTAATAAAGCGCAGCATAAGATAGATATATCTTTTGATTGTGAGAACATCCAAGTCGAACCGGGGAAGGCCGTTGCGAGCCCCGGGGACAAGAACAATTCGCGATGTAGAAGACACTATAATTCAGGGAGACACTTTCCAACCAGTATCAGTAATCCTGTTCCATTATCAAATAAGAACGATGCCATAACCGAAACGAAACGAAGCGAAGCGAAGCGAAACGAAAGCTCTTATTCGTCACCAGGCACCTTCGAATCAATATCATTCAAAACATTCTGCGCCTTCCTCACAAGAGCTTTCCTCGTTTCCCTGGCCGCCTGATCCCCCTCCGTCTCAACCGCATCCAATTTTAACAGAACCTGTCCCATAATCGTTTCACTTAATTTCTTATGTTCCAAATCCTTCTTCTTTTGTTCCTCTGGAGGGTTCGCAATGAACGCTTCTGCTATAGGCAAGATCTCGGTATGGAAATGATCTGAAATAGCGTTCAATTTCTCCATTGGTGTTTTAGGTGTTGGAGGAGGGATAGGGGAGGCTGCTCTTGAAGTCGCAGAGGATTCCATTTGTGGCGTTTTGAGATTGTTATCAGCCTTCTTTTTTCCCTTCTTATTCTTCGACTTGCGGATTCGCTTTCTGAGCTTGGATGCTGTTCCTTCTTGAACATCTTCACTTTCATCTTCCGAATCATCGCTTCCGGTCGACGCATCCCCGACAATGCAAAGAATCTCCGATTGATTTCTTAGTCCATAGCTTCGACAAAGTGCATGATCATCCTTTAATTGTTGTCCCTTGTAAACCAACTTCAACACCTTCCAATTCGAAACATCCATCAATGCCGCTGCTCTCTTCCTTACATCACTGACTTGTAATTTCCCATCCCCGATACTGTAAGCTGGAAATTTGACTGGATAGGTGATTCCCTTATTCTTCACCAATAATACATCATCTTCCCCTTGTGATGGAGGTGGTCTCGTGGATGGATCGTAAGTTCTTCTCGGTTCCTCTATATCCCCACTGGTAATATATTCGAAATCCCCATCTTGTACCTGCGGCGGATTACTTCGACTTGAAAACGGACTCAATCGACTCGCACCCCCGCTGAACCAATTATTTCCCCATCGACTCATACTCACAGCAGCCGCAAGTATAACAAAAGCACTACCTGCTAACGTCGTAGGAGGAACTCGATCGATATGTGTATATTTAGCGGCTTGTTCGATGTAAGCTTGAGCGGGTTCAGGAAGTTGCGAGTAGGCAGATTGGAGATGGTGAAGAGTGCTATCGAGATAACTTTGAAGAGAGTTGGGAAGATGTTGAATGGCAGAAGACAGGGTGCCACCTTGCGAGTCCAAAACGCGGGAAGCCACCTTGGCTGATTTTTATCTAGTCCTGCGGAGGGGACTCTTTTTTTTCTTCGGTGACAAACTTGTGAAGATGATATGATATGATATGATAGGGCTTCCGATATATGTGGGATGTAGGGTTCAAGGTGGGGTGGTTGATTTGTGTGTTGAAGTGAAGGTTTTGGGATGGATGACGGGAGCTTGAAAGTTGATAAAAAGACAGTGTACTGAAATAAAATGATTTAACGTTGTCCTTTTTGGGGGATTCCTTGGAGGATTGATTGATTATATCGAAGTATGTTCCAAATTGGGAATTGATAGCGGTGAAGGGAATCAAAGCAAGCGAGTGAGAGTGAGATGTTCTATTTTGAGGTTCTCGAAGAAGGGTTAGGGAGAGAAGCAGACAGAGTGAATTATAAGTTTCAGAATAGGATGATCTGTTCTTCTTGATTGGTGCCTTTTAAGATCCTCTCTAAAAGCTATGTATGATATGATGCTAATACCATTTCATCCTTATCAGATTCTATCTAAACATCTAAACTCACTTAAAAGTACTATGTACTTTTACGAGTACCGGTATATGCTCTAATAATAATTATCGATTCCAAACCAGATCAGATCACGAGACTTAAATGATCTTAATATAGATAGATATATATTATGCTTTGCCTCACTTTTGCATGAAACTACCTATTCAGGGGTCACGATGTTATATATTCAAGAGTCTTTGTTTCCAAATATAGCTAAGTTTAGCCATTTAAAGGTTCTTATTAATATTATTACCTATCTAGGTAGGTACTCGTAGTTTCATCAAATGATTTGAATTATTTGCTGACAAAGATTATTGTGCTTCCTTTTCCTTCCTGGCTTTCTTCCAAGTTCCATCCCCCATCACTATTCGAGCTCGAGTAGTACTCCAGTCATAACTCCTTTCTGAATCCCAGTCATCTTTCGTGCTTCCCTTTACAAATTCGTTCTTTCTTATCCTCCGGCTGACCAGTGACGCAATTTCCTCCATATATATATAAATCCAAATCAATTTTCTAGAACCTCCCCGCCCCAAACACAATTGCTAATCAGCAAATCTCGACCCCTCCAAAATCAACCACAACTACAAAATAACCAAACCTATAAATTACATTCCCTTCTTTGCTACCAACTCCATCTATCCATCAATCAATCCAACTCTCACCCCAAAACTTCATACCTACTCTCCATATAACAGACCTTTCACCAGGTCTCCCACCAACCGCCCATCATTAATTTCCTCCGCCGATTCTTCACCACGCCAGCTATTAATCCCGTCAGAATGTCTGCTGCTCAAACTAAAGCTGAGGGTATCATTGCCGATAATGTTGTTGGTATGTTTATATTTTCTAATCTCTGTTCTCTATTTTCCTATCTTCTTTCAATTTCAGTTTGGAGCTGTGCTTGTCATGTGTGATGAGGTTGAAATGGATAAAGCGGACGAGGAAAGAATTTAGCTAATAACAATAATCTATAGCCGTCTTCAGCAAATCCTACTGCCCATACTGCAACGCTACCAAGAAGCTTTTGAACGATATGAAGGCCAAGTATTTCGCTATTGAATTGGATCAAGTTGGTATGTTACCCCATTCTGTCTTTTATATGCTTAATTTCCCACCCCCTTCCCCGCCTTTACTCATTTCCACTCTTACTCACATCTCCCCCCTCTCCTCAAGACATACATCCCACTAACATACCATACCCCCACAGACGACGGATCCGAAATGCAATCCTACCTCAAGCAAAAATACAACCAAAGTTCCGTCCCCAACATCTTCATCAACAAGAAACATGTCGGTGGAAACTCTGATTTGCAATCTAAGGATAAGAAGAAGTTGGAAGCGGAATTGAGAGAGTTGAATGCCATTGAGGGTTAAGGATTTAGGATGCGAGGATGTGAGGATGTCTAAAGTCAAGATACTGGAGTCGTGGATCGAGGGTAGATTTCGTGATGTGCTGGAATGAATGGAATGAGAATGGAACGCGCTGGAGTAGCGTATAGAATATTCATTTTGAAGAATGGATGGAGAAGGAATAGAGTATATGATACATAAAGGTTGATTTACTTTTGATACCAGCCATGCCATGCCATGCCACACGTTCCATGAAGTCATAATCATACATGCACACGATACAATACAATACAGTCCGACCCAACCTACATTCACATCATACATGGACCTGCCCCTCCACGGTCCCCACCGGCCTCTCCACAAACCCCATCATCCCCTTTACAATATTCCTCCTCGCCTCCTCACTACTAACCTGCGCCCCTGCCAAATACCCCAACCATATCCCCCTACTAACCCTCTCATCCTTTACTTCTCCCAGCTTCTGCCTCCCCTCTCCCCCACTCTCCTCCATCCTTTCCTTCCTTCCCCTCCTTCCCGCACCAAACACTCAACACCCCCTCCCCACTCCTCGCCAACAACAATTCCCTGCCCTTCGGCACCCCCCCTCTATTAAACAACCCCTTAAAAACCCCCATACTAATTCCAAACGCCTCATCCCCATACCCCTCCCTATCCCTCTGCGCACGCGCCGTCAAACTCCTCACCCATGCATCGCGCAAATGGTGGAAATCCGTGTTTCGCGTGGGTACTATACGGACAATCGTTTCAATACCGGGGTTGCTAAGAATCTCATTCCAGATGGCTTCGCTAGAAGTAGGGTCTAGGAGGAGATCAGAGAGATGCGCTTTTTCCGATGAGATGAGCGTGCTGGCGTTGGTGGAGGGGGGAGTGGCGTTGCGGATGAGAGTTCGTTGGAGGGGGTGAGGGATGATGTGCAGATGTAGAGGCCGATGATGTAGACTTGGATGGAGAGGAAGGAAACGGTGCGGATGCCGAGGCCGAGGAGCTGGTAGGGTTCTGGGGGGGAGGTGGGGGCGGAGGGGTCGTTTTCGTTGGAGGGAGAGCTGAAGTGGATGGTTTTGGGGAAGGTGGGTATGCTGCTGGTGCCGGTGGGTACTACTTCTTCTTCTTCTTCTGATGTGGAATAAGGGGTTTGAATAACGGGTTTAGAAGAGGGCAGCGAGTCGTGCGGTCGCGAACTATCGAGTTTGGCGGGAGGAGGAGGTAGCTCGATAAATGTAGCGGTTGCCCATAGGCAGATTATGCCGATGAGGAGGCCGGTACCGGAATATATGGATCGCCGTTTGTAGTGCGCGCGGTTGATGGCTTCGAGGCGGTGTAGGGTGATGGGGTCGGGGCGGGAGTGGGGGTTAGAGATGGAGATGGAGGGGGGTTTGCTGGGTTGGCTGGTTAGGGTGCGGGTGCGGGTGCGAGTTTGTATGTGGAGTGAGGGGTGTGGGTGGATGGATGGGGATGAGGAGAGGCATTGTCGGCGCTGGGTGTAGGGGCGTAGAAGGCGAGTTGTTCGGGGGAGAATGTTGGAGGACATTTTGGGTGGGTGGTGTGGTGGTTAGAGGTGGTTAGGGGTTTGAGGGAAGAGAGGGGAAGGGGAGAAGAGGGGAAGTTTGGAGGATGGGATTTAAAGAATGGGCTGTTTTGATGATGCGTCTCGCGTACTGAAAGCTTATTAGTGAAATCTGGGGAAGAGCTAGTGGAAGTAGATAATATACTATAGCTTGCAAGGATTGATATTATTTGATTTAAAGATTCATATATGATCTATTAGGTAGGTATTCATTACAATTTATACCTCATCCGTTTTCGGTATTTAAATATCTCTAGTTGTATATCTCTGTATATCTCTTCTTCTAATATTATATTATATTATCTATTTAAATAATAGAGAATATTGAAATAGGAAACAATAATAGTAAGTTCTACTACGAGTAATATAATCTTAATAATTTATTTTAGAAACTTCAAGGAATTATAATTTTCATTACTAGAAGATACTCTAGAGTATATAAGTATAAAATAATCTAATACTTGCTTGATTGATAAGCTAATTTTTGAGATTTTTGTAGATAGAAATATAAGATCTTTTAGAGGATTAAAGCTTATAGTATATATAATAATCTATGAACTGGATTGCTTACTAAGACAGGGCCAGATCAATCATACTAATAATTTAAAACACAGCATCCAGAACCGGTAATACATTTTGCAACCAAGCCAATTCAAAGCCTCAAAACTCAAAACTCAAAACTCAAATCATCAACAGAACACAACACATCAAATATTTTGTTCCCATCGCTTCACTTTTCCTGACAAACTGAACAACAACCGGAAATTCAATTCCTCATTACAATTATTCCGACAAATCTAGAGAATTCGCGACATTTTTAATATTACTCTTCAAACACTGGGAAAAGCTCTCATGAATTAAGACGAGGCTGAGCAATCCACGGTTGTCAGCAACCTCCTCATTCAACCCCCCTTGAACGACATTCGACTTGATATCGATCCATCAAAGAGCTTCAAACCATATCGCGAAACCTAGTGAAGCCATCCGGCTATTGCTCCGTCACTTCCTCCTATCAAATACTTCATCATATCATATCCTCCCTTCATTCATTCACCATGAGGGGTCGACCTATTAAGATGCCTCACATTAATTCCGGGTTCCCATCTCGTGTGAATCCTGATATAGGTGATGATTCGCATTCATCTACAAGCAATTCGCCTGCCCGTGCCGATTATGAGGAATCCGATTTCTTCACCGGAAACAACGATTCGCAGTCCTCCATCGGCGTGCCAACGTTCCAAGATATGGCTGTGACAGAGACTTGTGTATCGGCATCGAACAGATTACCGGCAGAAGTCCTCATCAACATATTTGCAAGGCTCTCCCATCCAAACGACCTTTTATCTAGCATGCGAGTATCGAAGAAATGGGCTAGGAACAGTGTTGATTTGTTATGGCACCGACCGGCATGTTCGACATTTCCGAAACTCGGGCACATTTGCAACACGCTTACCTTGGAAAACCCCTACTTCGCATATCGAGATTTCGTCAAAAGGTTAAATCTGGCCATCTTAGCAGATCGTGTCAGTGATGGAACCGTTCAACCTCTCTCCGTATGCACAAGGGTGGAACGGTTAACCTTGACCAACTGCGTGGGTATCACAGATAGTGGATTGACTGGACTTATCACCGATAACAGTCACCTACTTGCTTTGGATATTTCTGGAGATAAACAAATTACCGAGGCTTCCATGTTCACTTTGGCAGAGCACTGTCGTCGACTACAAGGCCTGAATATATCGCAGTGCGTTAAAATCTCGTCTGAGTCTATGATTAAAGTAGCTGAAAGTTGCCGACACCTCAAACGTGTAAGTTGCTACGGGTTTCTTCAAGATTGATACTGACCAAATTTTAGCTTAAACTAAATGAATGTGAACAATTAGACGACCGAGCCATCATGGCATTCGCTCTAAATTGCCGTAACATCCTCGAAATAGATCTCCACCAGTGCAAATTTATTACCAACGACCCGATTACCGCTCTCATCACAAATGGAAACGCTCTGCGAGAACTTCGATTGGCGAATTGCGAAATGATTACCGATAACGCATTCCTCAACCTACCTCATAGGGTGACATATGATCATTTACGCATATTAGATCTCACAAGCTGTCAGCGTCTCACAGATGCTGCTGTTGAAAAGATCATTACTGTTGCGCCAAGATTGAGAAATTTAGTATTCGCAAAATGTAGACTCTTGACCGATCATGCGGTTCATTCCATCAGCAGGCTGGGGAAGAATCTTCATTACCTTCACCTTGGACATTGTGGGCAAATTACCGATGCTGCCGTTATCAAACTCGTTCAAGCATGCAATCGTATCCGTTATATCGATCTCGGTTGTTGTATTCACCTCACAGATGCATCTGTCACCAAGCTCGCTACCCTTCCCAAGCTAAGGCGCATCGGTCTAGTTAAGTGTTTAGCTATTACCGACGAGAGTGTTATAGCATTAGCTGTCGCGCAAAGACAAAGGCAGTTAGGACACAGAGGACATCATATCGACGACGCAGCTTACACTGGAAGTTGTCTTGAAAGAGTACATCTTAGCTATTGTACCAATTTAACGCTTTCGGTGAGTGGAAGAAGTTGATCATGAGTGAGGTCATATTGTTAACCACGATACAGAGCATAATCCTACTGCTTAAGAATTGCCCAAAATTGACTCATCTAAGTTTGACTGGCGTTCAAGCTTTTCTACGACAGGATCTCGAACAGTTTTGTAGAGATGCTCCGCAGGGTAAGTCATATCCCGATTATGCCTATTTCTACTTTATTGACACTTCATAGAGTTCACTGAACATCAGCGCAATGTTTTTTGTGTCTTTTCCGGTCCTGGTGTCAACGGTCTACGCAATTTCTTGACTCAAGATGAACGACAAATTATTGATGGGGACGAAGATGATATTGTGATTGAACCGGGGATGGATACACAAACTATTTCAGATGCTGATGACGACCAAGCAATGACTGGCATGATGAACGCGACGGCACTAAATACCGAGGAAAACGACGCTGATGTTGACGAAGCCTTAGATGATTCGCAGTTCCCAGTTTTTCCATAGTACCATTATCTGGAGATTCGGGACAGCACAATATATTAGCACCTCATTAGCGATATTCAGAACTCATCAGATGTACGATGTATTCTAGTAGATGTCAACGAGCGAACATTGACAAATCCGGGCATTGGGAAATGGAGTTTAGGAGTGGGGAAGGTTTAATCAATGGACGAACATACCCATTTCATTACGGATCGTCTTTCACACTCTATTAGGTTTTGGAATGTACTGAATGCATTATGATTGTATTCATGATACATAGATATCTTTGCCATAAGCGAGGGGGGAGCAAAGGCGTAGTATTTGTATATACGCATTTCTTGGCGCTTTTGATGAGAGTGAATCGTTGGGATTGGGCGGGAGTCTCTTTTTATAAGTTTGGTGCAAACTGGGATGGATGGATGGATGGATGGATGTCATGGGATCGGATGGGCAGATGGAATAGGATGGTATGGGGGTATGGAGTAGAGGCACAGTTTTATTACATGGATTCATCTCGAGTAATTAAGCTTGAGATTGACACTTTTGTGTAGATTACTACTAAATGGTGGTTAGTGGTTAGTGGTTATTGATTGGTGGTGTTTTTCTTCCCACCCATATACACTGTCTGTCTAATGTCCACTAAGGTCTAAGGAATCAATCGGCTGTTTGGAATGAAGTATAAAGTTTAGTCTGAAGCCAGAAATTAATTCCATGGCAATGGTGGATAGCAATGCCTACTGAGTACAATACAATGATTGCGATATGATGCGATGGGATGTGATGTAATGCGTTACGATGCGATTAAAGAGTTTTTTTCTTCTTCTTTTTTAGTTCTTAATGTTTTGTTATTGATATCGTTGTTAATGGTGATTTGTTATAGATAAGATAAGTATCAAATAACAAATAAAGAAACATATATAATATCTAGTGAGTTCTAGATTTCTATTTTGTGTCTTTTGTATAAGTACTAGTATTATATAAAATTGAAATGATAGAAATGTTGAAAATAGAAATGGAAATACTGCTTTCTGTTTAGATAGATAGATTCTAGCTACTAGAGGTATTCATTTATATAAACGCTAATTAATCAATTAGGGGATGTTGATGTGACGTCATTAAAGTCTAGTCCGTCTTGTGATTTTGATTTTGTTTCGGTTTGTGGCTTGGCTTTTGTTTTATTTGTGACGTCAGTAGTCACCGGTGAGAGATTATTCATTTGAATTGGGAAAGAATGAAAGAAAGGGAGAAAGAGGGAAAGGGAGACTCAGGGAAGGGTTTATAAGAGATCTGATATCTCCCATCTTGGAGGGTTTCTTCTTCTTCAATACATACACAACGAATTTTAAACAATACTTAAAAATTAATTATTCTTCTTGAGATTCGAAAACTTTGATAACTACCATACATATCTACAATAACCTACAATACCTACTCAACTTCAACTACAATTCAATAAAGCAAAATTGCAAATATGAATACTATCAAGTGTGTACAAACCTCCCCTTTGCGTTCTTTCCTTTCCTTTGCATCTCCTCTATTCATATACTCGTATTTCCTTATTATACAGTGGCATACGAGTACATATACACTAGATCTTTACCTCCTCATATTGTTCCTCTCCTCTACGTTCTTTTGTTAATTTCTATCATCATGTTCTACTAACTATTCATTCAATTATTCCTGCCTTCTTACAAACCCCTCTTCCTCAAACCTACCAATTTACCAATTTACTAACCCATGATTTCCAACAGAAACGCCGCAAACTACGTCTCGGAGAAGACTCAAGAAGGAGGTTCAAAGGCCAGTAAGGAGGTCAATAAATGTTAGTTTTCTCTTGGAGCTCTTTTCTTCTGCCTATATGAAATCAAGCAACTGACAATAGTATAATGATAGCTGTGGCAAAAGACTCGACAGCTCCAATTAGCACGCGTGCGAGGGCGGCTGTTGATATGGTGGGGGATAAGGTGGACGAGCATGGGCATGAGGTAGGTGTTTTCTTTTATTTTGAGGGGACGGGGGAGAGGGGGTTGTGGTTTGGGTTTTGTAATTGAGGGAGTGAGAGGGGGGGAGATGAATAAATGTTTGATGATGGGAGGATTGGAAATTTATGAAGAAAATTGCAGTGAAGTGGGTAGAGGCTAATCAATTATCTGATATAGGGAAAGGCGGAGTACCACAAGGAGGTCGTTAAGCACTGAAGGTCGAGATGGCGGATTTGGGGTTGGAGGGGACTTTGATGACTGGGAAGGGAAGGTTTGAAGTGTGAAGAGAGATATGGCGGTGATGGAGTGCAGCTTTCGTTAGGCAGATTGGGGAGATGGAATACAGCTTGTTTATACCTGGGGTGGATACATGGTAGCGCAAGAGGATATCATTCCTCGATCGTTTCTTAAATTAGTTTTCGGCATAGGTGTCGGGATCAATGGACTTTGTTATGCTTAATTTATTGTTCACTTTTTTTGGTGTTTGGTCACTTTCATATTTTGTGATTAAACATCTTCCATGAATCACTGAATGCAAAACTAAAGTATCCTCACATATCCTTCACATTCCCTCTCTACCTTTCACATTCATGATATCCGTACCCTAAAACTTCAATGCACTGTTTTCCCTGCATCATATCATATCATCCGCTTACTTATAAGTTATATATATACACTAAGGATTAATTCATCGTTATAACTGTGATTGCCAAATGAGTATGTGGGTGGTGGATAATGGGATGGTAAGGTGATGGTGTGATGTGATGTGATGTGATGTGATGTAACGTAACGATATTCGAGATGAATGGAGATATAGATGAAGAGGTTGGATTTGGTGAGATTTGGTGAGATTTGGTGAAGTGTTATGTGAGTGGCGATGATGGATTTGAGATGATGATTTGGTGTTAAGATTAAAGAGTTGAGATATGAAGGGGTGGAATAGAATGGAATGGGATAGAATGAAACGGAATAGAATGGAATATGTTGTGACTGTTAGTTATTCCCTCACTATCGCAGCTGCGCGGGGGCTTGGAGTCTCGGAGATGATTGATATGTTTGGGATGGGATGTTTGGGATGGGATGTGTGAAATGCACGAAATGAGATGTATGAGATATCTTGGAATGGAATGAAATATCCTAAAATGGAACGAAATACTCAAGTACTCGACAAGATGATTTGAAATAACTTAACAACTTAGATAAATTAATAGAGTGCATAAAGTGTATAAAGTAGGCGGCTATGCTATTATTGTATTGGAAAGGATTTCGGGGATGGATGGATGAGTGTGGATGAGTGTGGATGAGTACAAATGAATGAGTAAATGAGTTAATGGAATGTAATGTAATGGAATACTCGAGTAGAATAGGATAGAATTGGCTCTAACTAGCGCTGAACCTCCATTGTATCTAATCATTAGTTTTATCAGTAATCATTAGATATCGAAGTTAGTCCTTCCTGGAATCCTGGGTTATAAGTGATAACTTATAAATAGGTAGTGCTACTCAGTAGGGTTTGTTTATATAACTTAAAATACTACCAGAAAGAACCTCCAGTAAGCATCTTTCCAATCACAATTGCCGAGATTACAGAGTCTAGATCCATAGTTGGTCAACTTTACAGTCTGTACTGTGTGATTAAGAGGTTTATGGTTGAACTTGTTAGTTATTCATTATAATGTTGAGGTTTATGTCTATGTCTATAGTGATTAGTTAGTGATGGTGAAACTAGATAGTTTGATATACGGATTTTTGATAGCGTAGAATGTCATTAGTACCATAGCTAGCGGTTTCTGAATCTATTTCAATATATATATATGCATATACATGGCTAGTTTGGTTTGGTTTCAGCTTCATATTATATCATATCTTGCTTTTTGCATGGCTCTAATTTTATTGTACATCGTGCTAGTTGCTTCACTTTATTTCACTACTCAAGTACTGATTATGGGACTGTAGGTTTGAGTGTATAAGTACAGTACGAGTATTATCACATCATATCTCCTGCTAATATAATGGGATTTTGAATTTCTATATGCATTGGTAGATAGATATGTATGTATTGTAATACCGGTACTCTATTATCATAGTGTTGTCTTTTCCATAGAAGACTACCGGTACCAGTCCAATTTTCAAATGGGGTTGAAGAGTGCGATTGATGGGCGAGATGGAAAAGATGGAAAAGATGGAAAAAATGGTATATACTCGATTATATACACTTCTGGCAGATAGATAAACTGATAAAGCTTGCACTTGTAGATAACCAGCCCATCCCATCCGACCCGGGTAATTAACTTTTTTGAATCTCTTGCTATAAATGTGGGGCCAAGGAAGAGGAATTGAAGTGTGAGGGGAAAGGATAAGTTTCTTTGAATCGAGGTGGAAATGATTAGGGGGGTGCTAATGATGACAATTGCCAATAGGATCCAGGGGTGGGGAATATTTGGATCAGTGCAGGCAGTAGTGCAAGCCCGTTTTTAAACTGGCAGTTTGAAGAGTTGTAATTTAATTGGCATTTGAAGTTATATAAACTTAACTAACTATTAGTTTGAATTCGATAAACTAGATTAACAATTTAATCAGTTTAATCAATATAATCAGCTAAACTGTCAATTTTAAAATTAAATGATTAATTTAGTTTGTATATTTCAGTTACTACTTTAGGTTTAATAAACTAAATCAACTGATTGAAGATCAACTAGTTGAACGAGTTAACTACTGTACTGCCTACCCTGGTTTAGATCGGCTGTGGTTATGGTTGCTGCGATGATATCGATTGAAATAAGGTTGTCATGAGCTTCAGCCTCAACTTTCAAGGCCTAGATAGGTTAATAATGCACAAATTCTTTCCAAGCTTTAAAACCTATTTGATGACAATTGAAGTTGTATATGAGTCAGGGTTTCACTGGAAGTACAGTACTGGCTAGATATAGATAATAGGGGCCGAAGCGAATCTAGTGCCCGCCTCTCTTAAATGAATATGCCTTCCCTGTAGCATCCACCCAAAGTTGCCACTTCTTTTCATATCTCGTGATATTGCCCTAGAGCCAATCCCAAATATTTTGGCACCAACGAAATAGTATTTATCATGGAGTGCAAGACTAATGATACAAGATTGGATGGTCTTATGATATCAGATCTGTTGACAGATGCGATGGTTTGGCGTCTGTCATGCCAATGGTTGGCCCCAGTTCCTGTTACATTAGGTGCACTGTACTGATTAGTGTTAGATCTGGAGTCGGAATATTCGAAAGTCTCAAAAGCTTTATATTACTGAGGCATTCTTTCTCGCAGCTGGGTAAGTCACTCGCGGCGTATCATTGAACGTGACTTGTAGCTTGAAGCTCTCTGCTGCGTGCATTATAAGATTGATAGTTGAAAATATTTAATGATGGTTACGCAACCCACACCGATGTTGACTGTGAGCCTTGCTTTCTGCCTTGGGCGAGACTGATAATTCAAGTTTAGCAGGGCTCAAAGAGACAACTCTTTGGGCTACGCGTTGCTTAAGCCTAGCATGCTTCGTTGACCCATACTAAATCCATTTTACAGTAACTCTCTCGATTCGTTTATATTACAGTATTCTTGAGAGCAGTCTCACGCTGATAGCAGCCTATGTCCCTACTCTTCATTATCTCATAACCCAGCCAACATTCCGCGATACCCAATCCAGCATGGGAATTCTACTGAAACTTATTAGCTCCCTTCAATCGCCATTCACTTCCAGCTCTCGAACTACTTACAACGCTGCACCAGACACTGAAAGACTGGTGATGAGAAGGTCTTGCAATCATTAAAGCTTGGCGGCAGTTTTGTTCCCTCAGGGTATCATGTCGACCCTTACAACCTACCACATATACCTCGAGGATGGACTTGAACTATCTCGGGTCACAATGCAATCGGGACATTCTCACACTAGAATTTTGGACAAGGCATAGAGCACCGTCTTACCTCAGCTAGCTGAGATTGAGTCCAACCGCATTTGGACGAAGCCAGACTATATACAGTTTAGTAAAAGTCGCTTAAAATCGCTAATATACAAATATGGAACCAAAATAAACTCCTTTTTCCAGATTCTTCCAATCAATAACTTTTAGTTTGATGGACAGCTAGATCAAACGCGGCTGGACCCAACCTCAGCTAGTTGAGGTAAGACGGTGCCTCTATGGTTATCATCAAGATGGCTGATACAGAAAGAAAACGACCATGGTGGACAAAGATCTTTCTTCAGGAGGATTTATTATTCCACCTCCAGGCTTCATAGAGAAGATGGTCCAACGATTTTTCAGTGGCATAGATGTAATATAAATTCAAATCATGTAAATGACCAATCAAAACAACAAGAGTTGGTTTGACGGATGTGTAAATGGCTCATCATTCAGATACATGCGGATAAAACGGCATGAATTGCGGCGCAGGTGGAGAGACGTGTTCATAGATTGGCGTACTGAGGTGTTCATTGATCGGTGTATTCGTAGAGGATGTAGGAAATCGAGATTCTCTAGCCATCACTATTTCACCCGTATCAAAAAGGGTGATGATTTGGGTTGCTACTTGAAACTGCCGGTAATATTTGATTTGGAGGTTGTTCAAACGCTGATATAACTTCTACATAATTCAGATTTAAACTTTGACTATTCATTTATCCATCCGCGCCGATCACCATGTCAGACTCCTCAAGTGTGGACTGGAGCTTAGCCAACGGAAATGGCTACGTGTTAGATCATAGCCATATCTCAGCCTGTCGTCTCAATCTACAGAACCATCTCTGGAAAGAAGCGCTGGGATTCATCGTACACCCATCAATCCAGTTAAGTAATGAGAGCGTGATTGCGGATGTTGCAACAGGTACCGGAGCTTGGCTCCTAGACGTTATTCGTGAGTTCCCGCAAACTTAACTCGATGGTCTTGATATCGATGTGCGACAAGCCCCCCATCAAAATTGGTTGCCTTCGAATGTATCGATGAGGCACTGGGATATTTTTACAGATTTGCCGGATGACTTGGTGGGAAAATACGACTACGTGCCGTGAGACTACTGATTTTGGTTCTGGATGGTAACTCTCAGCCTCTTTCCGAAATTTCCTGAAGATGTTGAAACCCGGAGATTAGGGCTTACGATAACTTCGAGCTAGGAGTTCATTGCTAATCTGGAATAGGATATTTGTAGTGGGACGAGCTCGATTAATTTCCTGACAATGGATTTATTTGCGTCTAGTTTGGTGAAGATGGGGAAGGTTGAGGCGGCGAAAAAGTGGTATGGTGTTATACAGCAAGGGTATCAGGAATCTACGACGGGCGCGGCGTTATGTATTCCTAGACTTGTGTGTGTTGCAAGGAAGAGGAAATTGTAGTGGTTGTTTGCCAGATTAGATGATGGGATACTGTTTTAGAAGTGTTTGTGGGATCTCGTGGACATGATTGATGTTTGAGGAATTTGTTGTTTTGGGATATGTGAATCGTTGTGGATTACTCGAGTAGGTATACTCGTATATTGAATAGTTGATATTATTGTTAATATGCTTGGAAGTGGACAAAGTGCATGGTATTATCTGTACACAAATAACAATCTATAATACAGCTAAAGTTGACATCCACAAACCGAATTACAAAATCAAGTGCTCCTGCTCCAGTTCCAGCTCCGGTTGCAGGACATGGAATTGAGTTAATCATAGTATCGAGACGTAACACAGGTGTCAAGGCGCCGAAATATATCGGTGGAGAGATTGGCGAGAATATGGTGGTCCAGGTAGGGGGTATAAAAGGAGATGGAGAAGGAGAGGGAGAGAGGGAGAGAGGGAGGGAGATGGAGATGGAGATGGAGAAATGAGATATATGTTAAGGATTGGTGAAGCGAGAAATGACGGTGACAAGCCTAGATATTGAGATTCGAAAAATGGGAAGGTGGCGGAGAGGGTGCATGATTGATTTTGGGCTGAGGCTGAGACGGATGCGGAGGCTGTATGTGAGATTTGGAAGGATAGGTATTGCAGGAATGAGGTTGCTGGGATTATGTTAGATTATTCTATTATTGGTGTCGGTGGGGGGAAGCAGAGGGGTAAATTGAAGGTTTCGTTACTGAAGTTTTCATAGAGGAGAAAGGAGCCGGCTCCATTGCTGCTTATGGTGTTGGGATAGCTAGTGTTGGGAGCGGAACTTGATATTTGGGAGATCCAGGTTGGGGATAGGGTTGTGCAGGAGCGAGGTGGGAGGAGTCGGGTTGGATGTTTTGCTGATGTTGTGTTTGTTACATGTAATGATAGGAGGAGTTGGAATGTTCGTGAGAGATACATTTTGGATTTAAGTTATCGAGAAATTGTCTTCTGTTTGTGGGTTTGCTTCAACTTGATATTATATGTAGAGAAGGAACTTAAAATTATAGTGCATGTATATGATGTATATCTATAGATGACAAAAGCGAAAGTCAGATAGAACAAATGCATAAAGATAATTGAACGACTATATCAGAGAATAGAACACTACGGATAAATATCTTTTGTGACCAAAACACCTGTTGTCCAAGTCAACTTGGCGTAAGCTGAACTATGGCAAATTACGGATCAATGGAGAATCCGGACAAGTGTTCCGAGAAACCAGCTTCTGGTCACCCATATACTTCTGAGAAAATTTCTATAGGTCTTGTTGAAACCTAGAACTACTCCTCATCCTTTCTCCATAGCGTATCAAGCCTATGTATCAGTGAAGGCAAAAACACAATAGAAACAAAAGCCAATAACGAATTATCCCCATCTCAACCCTAAATGATTGTATGTAAAGGTGGTCCCACCAGTGGTAATACAGCAGCAAACAACGCACGAAGAATCGAACAGACAGTGACTGCGCAAGCTACATCTACAAAGTAGTTCTCCGGGGGAAGTATCGATAGGATGAAATTGAAGCCCACGATTGCGGTGCCGATGACTGGAACGATCCAGTGAATATGATCTTCGGCAGACTAGCCGTAGAGAAATAGACCGAGAGGAAGAATGGCATCTAGGAGCATGAGGGGAAGTCGATGCTCGAGCTTTAGGTAGCCCTCTTTTGATTTCCTGTATTTGCTGTACCGGTATCGGTCGGAGAATATGCCACAGAACAGCATATCGAGAACATTTCCCGCAGTTGTTTCATATCACTCTCGTTAGTCTACCCTTTCAATGACAGAATTTGTATTACGTACCTCTACCCAGGAATGCGAGTCCCACGGGCCTTGTCCAAATCCTTAATCATCCTCTAACATTGGATGGAGTAAGTGTAGTGAGAAAAAGATAGGAGATACCGTAAACCAAAGCCGTAAACAATGATATGATAAACACGATAGACGACAGAAACAATATCTTAATTGGCCATACAACCATATGCTTCTCCTGAATTCCATATTTCGATCTCAGGTCTTCATTGCCCGTACTTTTGCGGAGCCGCTCCGTCTCTCTTTCGCTGCAATAATCTCCCCTTGTATATTTCCCGAAAAAGTAAGAAACCCAAAACAAGTCACGGCTCCTACAGCAAAAACGACAATCCAAATACTCCACTCCATCACCAATTTTTCGCTTCAGTAATGTTAGAACCGAAGACTGGTCCGAAAAATAGTCCGAGGAGTAGAAATGCAATAGCTACTGATATAGCATTTCCTTGATCTTCTTTCCTGAACAGGTCCCTAATGATAGTTGGTTCAAAGTCATAGAGCAGACGATGGACGAATCCGTACAAAAACCCGAAATACGATGAACAGTATATGCAATAATCCAAGAGAATCTCAGATTGTCTATTTATCCAAAAAAAAACAAAAAAAAAACAAAACAAATACAATCTAGTCTTCTCCTTTTCGGATTAGATAGATATGCAAAAACATGTCACGTTTTCACTACAGTACAAAAATCATTATTTCGCTTATCGAAAATCACATATTGAGACTAATAAACCGTGACATTTGAAGCATAACTATCTAGTAGTCTATATAAGTATGAGGTACAAAGTTCGAGCTCAGCTAGTAAGCTCAGCTTATAACCATATCATATCATTTCATGAAAATACATATTATATCCCATACTTTGTACGAATCAACCCTGCACCATAACTCGTCATTTCAATTCCATCCCAAAATACACAATTTCATCTCCCATTCACCCACACATCCACTTACTCACCACATCCGCTTGCACGCCCGCACCATTTCCCCTCTTAGTATGACTCCCCGCCAATCTCCTCGCCACCTCATTTGCCTCGAATAAACTAACCAATCTTCTCTTTCCCCCACCATCTTCCCTACCCTTATCCTCACCCTCACCCTCATCCTCCTCATCCTCCTTATACTCATCAAACTTTCTCTTCGACCTCGATTCTCCTTGAACTCTCAAGCATTCCTCCCAAATGCGCAAGTGTGGTTTGTGATACGGGACCGCGTCTCGTCTATGACTTTTCGCGTAGTAGGCACTTAATGCACTGCTGGCAATACTATCTGGACGATATTGCCAATGCTCGTTTACGTAGGATGGTTGAGAGATGACATTGGATATATAGTTATCATGGGACATTTCGAGGGGCGTGCGACCTGTGGCCGATTCGCGGTAAAGGAGCGATGGCTTGCGGCGGAGGAAGAAGGTTGTCAGATTTGGTTTGTTGTCTTTGATTGCCTGGATACGGTCAGTATTGTGGTTCAAATTAGAAGAGGAAAGGGGGGGATCATACAACGTGCAAAGGTAAATCACCCTCTCCGTTAATCATTTCTAGTTCCTCGCCCGTCGAATATTTCAGAAGTACTTCGAGCACATCCTCGCTGTCATAACCTGAGCTCTTGCTCATCCACAAAGCTAAGGGTGTGAGTGCGCTTGGGTATTCATCGGCTCTCTCCAGCAACATTTCCTGAATATCTCTCTTGTGGAACAGTTTGATGATGGATTCTAAACGGGAAATGGTTTCGTCTGTTACACTTGTGGCATCACCTGCAAGGGTGTGCATGATATTTCGATTTTTCCTATCTCGAGAACGAGGTGACGCGCCAACTGAGAGAAGGTACTCGATAATCGGAATGTCGTGTCTGCTGACAGCGAGATGTAGAGGCGTATAACCCCCGGATGATTTCAGAGAGAGGACCGATTCAGGTAGAACAGAAACGAGATGTTTGACGAGGATGAGGTGCTTAACTTTGTCTTCGTCTGTTTGCGGCCTGTGAAGAATGGCAACGTGGAGTAGAAGCTCATCTATTGAAAGTGGTCAGAATCTGTTTGACATGAAGAAAGGTAGCATATCACTTACTATTTGTCTCCAACCATTTCGAAATAGTCTTATCAAATCCCTTCCCAGATTCCAATGTTCGGATTCGGAGATCATTTTTGTTACTCTCCGCAAATTCTTTGTAACGTCTCATTGGAGCGTCACTCATGAACCATTCTACAGACTCAATGTTGCCAATAATTGCAGCCTCTAGTAAAGGTGGGAATCGCACCTCAGAGTAGGTGGAGTCTTGGAACTGACCCGGAGGTTGTGCCCAATCCTTTCTCTTTTTACCTCCAATTGTCAAACCTTCATAACATCTTGGCTTAGTTTTGAGTTCCACGCCACTTGCCAAGATGAGTTCACCAAAGGGAACTCCTGCACCGCATGATTTGATAAGTTCGGCCAGCATTGTGGTATTGCCCCTAGAGAGAGCTGCATTGAAGATCTCTCCATCCAGAGTCTGAAACCGCTGATCATCCTCATGTTTAGCCGTCAAAGCTTTCTGCTCTGTTGCTACCTCCAATAGGAACTTGAACATTTTCAAATCATCCTGCTCAACAGCATGCTTTAATAGCGGGGGTTTCTCGTCTAATCTGGAGCTTCCGTCGTTGTCAATAAATCGACGCGCCGGACAGCGCCATTCAATCATAATCAAAGGATGGGTGTCACCTTTGACAATATTAGAAACTTCCTCAAGGGTATCAATCGTAAATTTGTCAGTAACGAGTTCAGAAAAAATAGGCAGTTCCTCCGACTCATCATCACTATCATCAACCGCAATGCCCCAGCGTTGACGTCCTTTGTGAGTATCTTCGTCGTCTGCGTTGTGATACTGAGCAAGACAGATCTCCACAATTCTACGAGCAAGATCATAGTGTCCACGAAGAACCGCGATAGAGAAAGGCATGAATTGGTTTTGATCACGGACCGTAATCTTAAGTGGTGCATATTCGGTGTTTCCATGTTTCCAAGGACTAAGCGTCAAGTTCTCGATGGTGTCAAGATCGTTGTTCCAGGCGGCTTCAAACAACATGAAATAGCCCTGTCTCTTTCCATCGTTTAGGTCTGGCACATGGAATGAGAACTGTGTTTGATAGTGCACGGGCTTTATGGTTTGCGTATGGTTGTAGCCCTGTGGGTGTCTGTGAGGCTTCTGTGGTGGAGAAATGTCCGGATACAATTCAGTGAAAGGCTTTGCTCCAGCAGCGATAAGTACCTGTTCGGCCTCCTCGAGATCCTTGATTGCTTCTCGAATTGCTTCGCGTTCATTCTTGTACTTCTCCAATTCAGCATCTTCATCTTTAAATAGCTTTTCGTGTCGTTCGTGTTTGAGCTTGTTTTGGTACTCCTCGTTTCGATAGTCTTGTAAGGCTGACCAGTACTTGTAGCTACCAGGTTCTAAGGTTGCTGTGTAAAAGGTCTGGTCACGAAGAATTTCTGGCTTCTCTGTGTGGATATTGTCTAGATGCCATTGCCATTGGTTATGCACAGGCTCTCTCCATTCACGAAGCGTCTTCAATTTGTGCCGAATGACATCTAGGATCGATTCTCCTTGGTTTTGAAAGGTTCGTTGATGAGGGACATTTACCGCAGTCCATGCGAATGTCGTAAGAGTCTGAGGGTTGGCGCCATGTGCAAGAAGATCTCCCACGGTTGCACCCATCTCCTTACAGATAGCAGCAATGATAGGCTGTTGAACTGTTGTTTGAAATTGCTTCATGCTTGTTTCCGTATCTTGCTTTCGAGCATGAGTGTTCATGGAAATGTATGCTTTGACCCAGTCTTCGAATTCGAACTGAGGTTGTGCTCCTAATTGCAAAAGTTTTGATGCCATTTCTCCGTAACTCTTCTTCACGGCGATGGTCAATGGCGTATCGGCTTGACCATAACCTCCTACCATCCCAATTTTATTGAGGACCTTTTGAGCAGCTGGACGATCATGAGCGAACAAAACATCCAATACATCCGTGTTGTTTTGAGCGACGACATAGTGAAGTGCTGTGAAATGGTTCGTGTCTGACTGTGCGGATGTTGCCCCTAATTTCAATAAGAGTTCCACCACCTGTTTTGACTTTTCGTGAGGAAGAGACATCGCTAGTACCAAAGTCATGATTGCTCCTCTCGGGTTGGTAGTACCGGCATCTACCAATTTGACAGGGAAGAGTACGTCGGCCCCATACTCTGAGACAAGAAGCTTAATAGCTTCGAGATGACCATTGAGTATCGCAAAATGAAGTGGAGAGAGGCCGTAGTCCCAAGCAATAACGTTGATGTCGTAGACATCAGGATCTTCCATGGTGTCATCCATAACCGCAGCCTAGAACTAATCAGCAACGAATAAAAGGGGACAAAAAGAGGAATAAGACTTACAATATCATCCTTATCATCTTCCTTATTGCCTGGAATCTTGACATAACTTCCCATCGTCATAGCATCAGACTCTTCCTGTTCACTATCGAGCGTAATTTCTGATCCAGAATCCGATTCCTCTTCACTAACAGGTGCAAGTGATGCAACTGCAACTTTGCGAGACTCCTTCTCCTCCTCTTCCTCTTCATTCGCCAAACTCTTGTTCATGAGTATGCTGATCATCTCAAGGTTGCCTCTCGCAGCAGCGATATGCAACGCCGTTCTACCGTCTACAAGCCGAGCAATCATTCTGGCTCCATGATCGACGAGACACTTGACAATCTCTGGAACGGAAGCCATAGCAGCTAGATGTAAAGGTGCGCGTCCAGTGAAGTCACGGCGGTTTACATCGACACCTTCCTGAGAGCACCAGTCCTGAACTTGCTCAAGATCTCCGTCCACGATAGCTTGGCAAAGACGTGCTGTATCTCCTACGTAACTCATGGTAGTCCACTCATTGTCATTGATAGGATTGAAACTTCCAATCTCCTGACGACCAGGATCATCTGAGATAAACTTGAGAGTGCCCGAGACGTTATTCTTGCTCTCCTTGTCGGCGATCTCTTTTTCCTCATCTGTGGTAGGAACTGGACAGTATCCGCAACAGTCTTGGATAACTTCTTCTGCAGTACCGAAGAAGCATGGATGACGATGCAGATAGACCTCGCGATCTTTACCTTGATTCCACTCCGCATTCAGAAGTAAATCTTTGGCGTACAGTAAGCGATTGATCTTCGCTGCGTTGTACTTCTGCCCGTAAGGAACGGTCATGGTATGATAGCTGGCAATTTCATCCTGTTCTACCCAATCCGCGACCTCATCTTCTTCCTGGTCTTTCAGATTCCCATACAACCTATGTTGATTGCGGAATCCTCTGTTGAGGGATGGTCTGCCACGCTCCTTTCGACGTTGGTCCATGTAGTTTTCTCGGTCCTATATATCACCATTAGCATATGATCGTCGCCATTACCACGTCAAATATACTTACAACCGTCTTTGGCAGCTTCTCCAAAATCAACAATCTCGCAAGTCCTTCAGTACGTCCAAATGAGCGTTCAAATATAGTAGGATCAATTCTTGATCGATCCAACATTGGCCAATGGACTTCAAAGCCTCTGTGACTGTATTTGCTCAATCTATTTTCGTAACTTGGTGATCTTCTAGTCAAATCAACCGTGTTGCATTGCGTAATGAATGACCCAACAGCTCTTGGACTCATGTATACTTGTTTTCCATCATACGCAGCACAAGAACAATCCACGTCAAATCCAGTGATGATCTGAGAGATAGAATCGTAAAGTCTAAGAACAATTTGGACATGGCGAGTGGGGTGCTGACTTGCAATGGTGATAGCGTTCTTCGTGCGAATCGTAGTTGTTTCATGAAGGATAGCATCTTTGATGTTAGTCTCAATCTGCTTGATCTTTTCTAGTCCCTCAGCCTCAGTAAGGCCATAGAGGAAAAGATCAACATCAGATGCGGGAGCCAGATGCTGGTGATAATATTCTCTCATGGCTCTCTTGCTATCGGCCCATTTCTCTGGAATTGGAATAAGAGATGTGGTGACGGCACTGCCAGCTGCAACAACATTACTCCAATCAAGATCGGCCAATGAGGATTCGGAGAAGAGGCTGAAATTTGTTTGGAAATCCTTCAAAGATCCAACGACAGCTGGAGAGCCATTGGGCCGACGTTCTACATCCTTCAACGGCATGAGATATTTTTCTGACTCCTCTTTCGTCTCCTTATTGAGATCTCTAGCCCGAACCTTGAGATTACTCTCATGGCCGGAAAAGATGGGAACTAAATTGACAGCTCCATCTTTGACAACTCCATGGTCAGGTTGTTGGGCGTAGACTTTGCGAAGCTCTGATTCATAGGTCTTGTAGGGCTCAATAATGGTTGAGATATGTTTGGTGGGGTTTTGAGAAAGGTAGGGAATGAAATCCTTGACAGGTGCGGGAAGGCTTGGAAGCTCAATTGGAGCTGGACGTTCGGGAATAGTATCAGATGCCATGGTGGTGATGGTGATGGTAGGGGGTATGGAGAACTTGGGTCGAATTTCTTGAAAAGTCTTGGAAATGTGTATTTGACGTTTTGTTGACTAGAAGACAGATACAATCGAGTATGAAGAACTTTGATGACTTTTTGAAGTAATTGCCAAAGCTGTGACGATGATGATGATGATGATGATGATAACAATTGAAGACACCGCGTATGATGTAGATATATATCAACAACCTCCGATTTTTATTTCGATGTACTATAGCTGCTCTGCTCGTAGTGTAATGAGAATGTATCGAACTGGATTGAAATGGATTAAACACAAAAAAAGTAAAAAACAACAGAAATTTAGAAAACAAGCCTTCTCTTTATAAAAAAAAGCTCACTCACACACTCTCACACACTCTCACCATTGAACCCCCCGCATTAACACTAACATCAACATTAACAGCAACGACACGAACTCAACACCCAAAAGCACCTTCGTCCCGTGATCCTAGGCTGCCACATTTAGGCAACCACAAGGCAACCACGTGATTTATGATTTCCCCCCTGGCTCTTTCCACAATTTGTATCTTAGCGTGTCGTTCTCAAACTACTAGGTAGGTAGGTACCTAGGTATCTTCCCCAATTTTTAAAATGTTCATCGGAAAATCATGTTATTGCCACGTTGCTATATTCTCCATATTCAGCATCGAGAATCTTCTAAATGGAGTTTGCTACCTAGAGTTTTAGGGAGAAGATCCATTCATTATCTGTGGGCCGAATTGAAATGTCTAGCTAGCTATAGGTACTCAAGTATATGAATATCATTCTAACAGGAATCGAGCGAGTATTCGAATACCGGTATGCATCGATCAGCCATATACGAGTGATATTCGGCATATCTCAAAACGCATCATTACTTACTTACCTAGGGCAACGCTCGAGTGCAATAGAAAGGATAGTTGTTTGGTAAACGAGAAGGTTTGACCGTTTGAGCGTTGAAATTTACAAAGAGTAGAGAGTAGAGAGCCACTTAGCTAACTCATTTGAAGCTGGCAAACTTTTAGCTGTACCTGATTGACATAGAAGTGAGAATAGGAGACGAAAAGATAGTCTGGTCACATCACTGTTCCACACTTTGATGCATAAGAGAACAGCTTCATAGCTAGAATCTCGTCCAACCATCATATGCATTAACCATGGGATATCTAGAATACACGAGCTACTGAAAGAAGCAGGCGCTCGAGCTCATCATACACTTCCGTCACCCATCACCTTTCCCTTCTACAAGTACAAGCCCTCGGGCTCACCTTCACTCTTGGTCTTCAAGACACGTTCTCTTGCAGCCCTGAAATCCGCCATCTGGACACGCATTCTACGTTCTCTCAACGCCATCAGACCAGCTTCGGAACAGATCGCCTTGATATCCGCACCGGAAAGATCATCCTTTTGGTTGATGAACTCCTCCAAGTCGACATCTTCGTTCAAGGACATCTTAGATGTGTGAAGGGTAAAAATCTTGCGCTTGGTATGTTGGTCGGGATTCTCAAAGAAAATCTTTCGGTCGATACGGCCAGGACGGATGAGAGCAGGGTCAAGGGTCTCGATCTTGTTTGTAGCCATGATAACCTTAACATCTCCACGGTCATCAAAACCATCAAGTTGATTGAGGAGCTCCAACATAGTTCTTTGAATCTCACGTTCTCCGCCAGATGTAGACTCGTAACGTTTAGTACCGATGGCGTCAATCTCATCAATGAAGACGATGGCTGGTGCATTTTCGGCGGCAGTCTACATAGGTTAGCATTTGTATTGTAATGGATGGACATTGAAAGTATACATACCTGGAAAAGTTGTCGAACAAGTCTAGGTCCATCACCCAAGTACTTCTGAATCAATTCACTGCCAACAATCCGTAAGAATGTCGCACTTGTCTGGTTTGCAACGGCCTTTGCCAATAGAGTCTTTCCAGTACCTGGCGCACCGTAGAGGATAACACCCTTGGGAGGCTTGATACCCATCTCCTCATATAACTCAGGGTGTAGTAATGGCAATTCGACCGATTCTCGCACTTCTTGAATCTGCTGTTCCAGACCACCAATATCTGCGTAAGATTCTGTTGGGGCCTTGTCAAGCTTCATTACCGAAACCAAAGGATCCGTATCATCGGTGAGAACACCAACAATCGAAACGGATTTGTGATGCAGTAATACACTTGCTCCGGGTTCCAAAAGATCCTTGTCGACGAAAGACATGATGGAGACGTAGTATTCCGGACCTGTAGTGCTTGAAACGATAGCGTGATCATCATCGATCATCTCCTCTAAAGTTCCAACTCCCATTGGGCTACCGCGCATATCGTCAACACGACCTTTCTCATCAGCGTTTCTATCACCAGCATCGGAATCGCCTCCAGCGGTGGCAGGTGCTCCTGTGCCTTCCTTTGCAGACTTGGTCTTTCTCAAACGTTCCTGATTCTCAACATATTCTTCTTCGAGGAGGAGATGATCGTGAATTCGTTGCATTCGAAGATATCTGAGTTTACATCGAGAGGTAGGATAGACGGCTGGTAGCTTTGCGGCTGCATTTGGACCGGCAGCCTTACGCTTCTTACGACCGATTCTAGTTGTTGGTCTTGGTGGTGGTTCGTACTTTGGCTTGTCCTTCTATTGGTGGGTAATCAGTCCATCATCCATCATCCATTTCTATCATGAAAGCACAAATGTATACCTTCTTGGATTTATCATCTTTTCCATCTCCAGCTGGTGGATTACCACCAAGGCCAGATGGTTGTTGACCCTTTGAGATTATGTTAATATTGCCGCTCACACAAAAATCATCAATTGGAGCTTACCATCTTGTTGTTGGTGTATCAAGAAGCTTTCAATAGGATATTTATAGAAAGTCAAAATATCCAGAACTATACCTTAGTAGATGAAGATAATTGAATTTACCTAATTATTGTGGCAGGTTTGTTGGAATTGGAGAAAGATGGTAGATTGTTGTTTGTAATAACAACAGCTTTGATAACCTCTTTCGCCTTTCCAACTAGGTATACAATAAGGCGACAATAACGACGCGAATGGTTCTTAGTGTCAGAAGCTTGGACCATTCAGCGACAGAGAGAATAGAGACAGATAAGTTGATGCCTTAAATCAACTGATATCTATTTATCAGGCATTCATTCACTTTTTATTATTGGCAGCTAATTCAACTCGGCAAGGTCCGAGTGTTATTGCTTTCAACCTGTACAACATATTACAAGAACAATCTACAGAAATAATTAACATGAACACCTCCAATTAAAAGATAATAACTATTAATACCTTTATACAGCATATGTTGGGTGACCTTTGGGCATAAAAGGTTCGTCATATTTTGATTTAGAATTGTCTTTCCCTTTCCTTCATAAGCTAGCTGTGAAGGAAGAAGTACAGTCCAATAACCCCGCCAAAAATAGATCCTCAAGTACGAGTACTAGGTATATAGTACAGCATTGGTAACTTATTTGGTTACATGCATGTACCACTGGTAAGTACCTAGTAGGTAGTGCCTTGTATAAATGTTACATCGTCCTACTCCTCATCCTCATTATTCACCATCTCATCTCCCTCATACTAATTGTTTCTGTGACCCTTTTGATCTGACTTGAATAGCTCCAGAATAACAGGGACACAAACTACCATATCATTCCCAATCAGAATTCACCAGTGAAAGAACATCTGATTCACACAGCGCAATTACGAATCTTTCGAGTCACATCACATAAGGCATCATACTCGAACCTAAGCATAAGAGTTAACCCCGAACCTCGAAATTCGAACTTCGAATCTCTGTCAACTTCATTCAAAACTACCACCCAAAATGTCTTCTAACCGAGTCCGTCGCATTGCCAAAGAGCTAAACGATATTTCGAATGATGCGGATTCTCAAATATTTTGCCAATCAAGAGATGGTAATGATAGTGATCTGACCAACCTTCGAGCATCCTTTTCTGGTCCACCAGATACCCCATATGAAGGAGGCACCTACATCGTTGACATCAAGATCCCCAACGAATACCCATTCCGCCCTCCGCAGATGAACTTCACAACTAAGCTCTGGCATCCAAATGTCAGCAGTCAGACAGTAGGTTTTTCTTCTGTGTGCTAGGAAATGCAATATTGACGTTCAAATAGGGTGCAATTTGCCTTGACACCCTGGGCTCAGCCTGGTCTCCTGTCCTAACCATCAGGTCTGCCCTCCTCTCCCTCCAATCTCTCCTGAGCACACCCGAGCCAAAGGACCCTCAAGACGCCGAAGTAGCCAACATGTTACTCTACCACCCCGACCGATTTCGAGCGAAAGCACGCGACTGGGCAATCCAGTACGCCGGTGCTCCCTCAGTCACTAAATGGTCACAAAGTGCCGCTTCGATTCCTTCATACTCAGCACCAGTATTGCATCGCTCAAAGGAAGAGGAGGCGCAACAGGAGATGCTGAAGTACGCCCGTTTTCCTTTAACTGTTTTCCCCGGTATGTTCTTAGTAAATGGTAGGCTAACAAAAAATCCACGACAGATATCAAGGATACAATAAAGCTCTCGTCGATCGTTTCGTTTCCATGGGCTTTGATATTGAAAAGGTAGTCGAAGCCTTCAACTTCGTTCACATCGATCGCAATGACGGAGAGGACTATGAGTTGGAGGAGGCATATATGGGTGATGTTACCGCGAGACTTCTCGGGGAACCATGACTCATGAACGATCTTCGTCATACGATGAATGGTGACTGGATAATTGGATCACAAGATACAGTATGAAGGGCCGCAAAGAATGAAGCGAGAAACAAAACGTTTGACCAAAAACATGAGACAGAACTTTTGCAATTTAGGCGTAAGACGGAGACTCGAAAAAGAAGCACAAGCTCACTAGCTTTCGGAAAAGCACACAGAATGGCTAGACTGCAATTATGAAGAGTTGAGAAATGGATGAATGATACCTCGGGACCTGAGCTGGGAACGAAGCTTTATTATAATGGGCGTTGGTATGGATATGTAGCCACTCAGCGTTACGTATAGCTTTTTTTTGCGCAATTGCACATCTGTCCATTTTCCAATCCTTGTTGTTTTATTGGAACTAAGTGATCTATCTGACTGATCGTGTGGTTGTGGGACTAAGAGTGAGGGTGAGGGTAAATGTGACTTGAATTAATGTTGGATTGATTGACTTAATGTTTGAGAAATTAGTAAGTGTGGATGTATGTATGTATGTAATTATGGATGGATAGATTGGATATCTTCTTGGAAAATACCTATGGTTACTAGTCGGTGAGGTGAGGGTGAGATGAAGTATTCTTGGAAAAAGCTGGTGCTGATGCTGGTGCTTAGTGCGAAATGTGAGGTTAGGGAGAGAGGGTTTTGAGGTTGGGATATAGATATGGGTAATGAGGTTGGTGGTTGAGTTTGAGATGAGTTTGGGAGTTGAATTTGGGATATGGAGGTATGGAGTTTGGGGTTTGGAGGATAGATGGGTAGAGGATAGAGGATAGAGATGGATGAGTTGGATGAGATGCATAAGACGGACTTCATACTGTTGTTGGATGAAGAAAGTGGGTCGGGTTGGGATTGATGAGGCATAAGGAGGCTTGGGAAGAAATGGGAGAGATGAGATGTTTTGGGATTTGTTTTATGTGGGTTGAATTCCTCACTGCATATGTATGTATGTGTGTATATCTCGTCTAGTGTTTGTAGATTGGTGGGGAGGTTGTTTGGAGTATTTTGAGAGCTGGATGGCTGGAGATTTGGAGGGTGGATAGAGGGTGGATGGGATAGTATTTCTTCTTGCGCTTGCATATGCACTTGCACATGCTCGAGGGAGAGGTATAAGGGAGAGGGATGAAGAGAAGATGAGATGGGATGGAATACTGTACTTGAATGATTAATAACTTGTTTTACTCATTCAGAGAGTAGCTGAGCCGGCCGGACCAATTTTTGGGGTTGAAAGGAGAGGAGAATCTGTCTTGTCTGGCTGTATCTGCTAGATAAGTGAAGAAGTGGTGAGGTGAGATGAGGCGAGGTGAGATTGTTGGGTGCCAGATGGAGGCAGCTAGCTAGGTGTGATGTTGTTCAGGTGGAGATAGATTACTGTTGTAGTGATATGGTAATGGTGTATAACATGAGGATATGGATTGATGTCGAAGTGAAAGAGTAGAGTAGGATTGTATGGATGGAGGAAGTCTGATATTATTTGTGTGGAGAATCTAGAGATGTGCACAAACTTGCTTCTGTCATAAATATATATACTGTTTGTTGTGATTTACAGGATTTTTCTGGCTCCTTGATATATGTTCAGAGCTGTGATGATGTTTGGGCAGGTTGTAAGTGGATATTTGTATTTGTATTTGAAATTTGAAATTGTGGTTGATGAGCTAAAGATCTTCCATTTTATTGTTGCTTGGGATTATATATTTTTGGGGGGATTAAGATTGGAAGAGAAACAAATTTTACAACCAACTGATTACAATGACAGGTCTGGATCTCACACTAAAATCAAGAGATGCAACAGAATCTCAAAGTACATGTGATTTTCTCCATCTGATAGGTCAAATATCACGCTAAAATCTCAAATCACTAAAATCGAGAGATGCAACAAAGTCAAACTTCAAGAGTCATCCAAGTGAGTTTGGTAATTTGATTGGGGGCTCAGATCTTGCACTATCGAGATTGAACTAAAATTGAGAGATGCAACAGAACTGTCCAAGAATTCCTTATTGGGTTTAGGGTCTCTCTTAGTACTATGGTCTAATATAATGTGTAGCATGTGGTATATTAGAAAGATGCGCAGGCTATCAATGTGAGGGGATGAGATGCAAAGCAGCAAAGCTAGATAGATATCTTGGGAGATATTATTAGTGAAAGTGTGACAGAGTGACAGAATTGCAGAGATGAGGATTTCAAGCTGTGATGATTTTTATTGTTTCCACAAGGGATTTATTTACATATTAATTATTCAGAGCTTCAGTCTGTCTTAATGCCAATTTTTTAGAGTACCTTCTTGGAGTTCCATAATGGACTGATTCTTTGATGTCTATGATAAAATGTTAAAGGTCACAATGATACTTTTATCAATGGTACATTTGGTGGAGTCCAGATCAGAGTATGTATCACTCTTTTCAACACAGGAGTTACTACAGTATCATACTCAAGCTTTATTGCCAGATTTTAAGATGCACAGTATGAAATAAATCACCTGTGAACCAGTGTTTTCTCTATATATTTCTTGTTCCTCTTTTTTCTAGGTACTCCTCACTCTCTTTGGCCTCAATATTTCCCTTTCTTGTTTCAATCCCTTGATTCATCAATCTCCATATCTGAATTTCTTTAAGAAGTCATGAAGATTTGGTCCAGTTGTTGTAACCTTCGAGGGTGATCTTAAGACAAAAATACATGTCAACCAACACCTAGAGGAAACCCTTGATTCGAGTAAAAGTATGAGAGTTTCCTACCCTCAAACTATGAGTCAATTGTCATTGACTAATTTATATCTCCTCCTAGGAAACATCAACATATATGAAAGTCAAATTGCCCTCCTCTATCGATATTTAACAATGGCCATACCCAAGTATCTTACAATAATTGCCACACAAACACAAACCATCTCACAAATTATAAATTTCATTTTCAGATCATCACTTTTATTAACATAATCAGGATTTAATTTGTGAAACAACAGCAAAAGATTAACAAATCATGTTGAATGTGAAAGTGATGAATAAAACTTGGAAAAGATATGAATCATATGATGTATGAGTAAAGGGGCTTCGGTTAAACCCTACTAAGAACCAACACTGGTATATGAGTAATGCCAAAATTTGTAATTTCGGGAATGGGAATGATATCATGCAGTGGTGAACTATGTAAATATCTGGTTTCATTCATAAGATATATATTGGGCCTTCTTATGTGCTACAGGAGGTTATCATTTCACCTTTACATCCAGTTTAAGGGGCAACTATTAACTTGAATGGAAAAGATAATTACTGAGTATTATTTGCACATGTGTTGCGGAAAAGGTGATTCTATATAGAGGAAATGTTTGAGTGAAGTAATCCATCATGAAGAACGATAGGAATTTCAGAAGAACGTTTTTGGTATTCCGAATCTCACTTCACCACTCAACTCCGTATGTAACTCATCCCATCCATCCATCCATCCATATACCATTACCCCAGAAAATATTCGCGCCACGCTGAGAATGCAACATTCAAATATCCATCATTCTATAATCCCTAGACCTTTGCTCTCAATCCATGTATTCTGCAGAAACAATTTGAGCACCCATTTCATCGCCATTTCCACATGCTATCCCAAAGCCGCTTCACATAACATCACAAGCTCGATTGCCGGCGCGATTATTGAGGGTAGGTGTGATTATTGGGGGTACTGTGCTGGAGCCAGTAACGGGTGCGGTGGTGGTTGGAGGAGTAGAGGCGGGCATTTTTGTGGATTGGTGGTGGGGAGGAGAATATTGTGGTAGGCTATTTTGTGGTGAGGTATCTGATTTTATGTTAGGACATCAATTACAGAGAGAAAAATCGGGTTGTCTGACCTTCAGATGTTGAGCTGTTGAATTTGTAGAGTTTTGTTTGTAGATCGAGGACTGCGGAGGAAGTTGTATATCCGTGGGATGATTTGGGAGGAATGAAATGAGATGATGGTAACGAGAAATGAAAACTTTTAAGCTATGCGAATACCTTGATATTAAGCTAGCAACTTGGTGTTATTGAAGGTTAACAATAGGATAAATACTTTGCGAGTGAATGTATGACGAGATTCACTCCACTAAGATGATGAACTTTTCGCATGCCAGCCAGAGGGACTTACTTATCCCTTACTTATCGACCGAATAAGTTAAGATGAGAATTTGGGCAGTGGGAAAAACTAATACTCTGATATCATTAACTAATGCAATATAGTAACACGCTCCTGAGGAAGAACTTTCAGGAAGACAATCGAATTAAAGACCTTCTTCAAGGTAGTAATAGGCTATCTGAAGACATACCATTACATCGCAACCGCAGTACTACATGTTTTCTTCCATCGACATCAATATCGACCAACGTGGTGACTGAGATACCAGAAGCTGAATTCCCAACCTGAGTATCTATCTTGACATATTCCACTCCAGCTACGTCATCTTGATGGGCGAGTTCGGCTTCAAGAAACCACCCAGTCTGCTAAAGTCATGCTATCATCTTGTGATATGCCTATGAAATCCGACGAGGGTAAGCATTTTCAACAGATGAACTGCACGAGCGATTTTCAGCACACCTTCCACTACGATCAGGAGTTCAATCTAATCTTCCATCTTCGCTTCGCCCTTGATGGGTTTACTTGGGTCTCAATTCGCTTCTCCAAAATAGATGCGGCTTCTGTAAAGTGCTCGGAGCGGGAGTGGGAGCTTATTATTCACCCCGCGTTTTTCAATTCATTCTTCTGTATCAACGCTGAATTCGAAGTGTCGGATTCAAGGCAACCCGTTCTCTTCAAATGCAAATAACTCGGTTCCGTGAAGCCGCCAGTCCCATGGAAACACCAGGGCATTACTCATACATCTATCCCTTTTCATGTGAGTAGATGTTTTTATGAACCCTCGACTTGTCTCCGACCCTTGATCGTCGAGATCTAATTCACAAGTGGGATTGGATTATTGCCGATAAGTACCGAATGCACTGAGAATAGACGGATATATGGTGAAGGTCAGGGCAGAGATAGTGTCTATTTGTTCGTTTCCCTGCTAACATGAAGATAATTGGTATGCATTACCAGTCCAAGTTTTCGCTGCGGATCTTACAACGTTTCAATGGCAGCACTTTCCGACTGAGTAAGTAGAAATAGAATGTCGATCTTTACCAAACCGAGAAACCGAGAAAGGTCTAAGCAGGTGATTGATCCTTCTCCTTAACGGTACCTAGATGTGGAGAATTACAAAATCCGCAGAACAACGTCCCGCCAGTAATTGCAATTGCGTCAGCTTCCTTGCCATGTATAAACCAACCTACCGGTACCTACAAGAACAAGCGAGAGATGGCGACAACTAGATGAAAAGGGGATTGTCAAAGATATGTCAGCAATTTTATCCCTGAACTGTGGCGGTGCAATATATACACGTGACTTGATACCGACCGAGCCGAAACATCCACACCAATTAGATGGATTCGTATGATCAGCCAAATGCGAATTGGTTACGAAGCCTCAATTAATATCGCTGGATTAAAAATAGGTGTTGAAACCACTTTCGATACTATCTACCTCGGATCTATATACCATACGAGTGGAAAGAGAATTCAATTTAATTGCCTCCTTTTCCAAGATATTTTTCTTTGATTCTCATCGCATGATTTGACTGCCACCTATCATCTCAACACTTCATTGTCCTTGGGATAGCGACATCTTCTCACACTCTCGGACTAAATCAGGCGCGTTTCGAAACCAACAGTGAATAGCAATCTTGCTCGTCTTGCCACAATTCTATACTCTCAGACAATACAGGGGCTCACCCGTTGGCCATTAACGCTGGTGCAAATATGTCTATCATGAATGGCGGTCGCCTTGCCTTCGTGGCTACTTCCGCGCTCGCTTTATTTGCAACAGGAGCAAAGGCACACGGAGGAGATATGTCGAAGATACAAGACGGAAATGCTATGAGCATAGAACCTATCGTATGTTCATCGCTATATACCGGAGGATGAATGAGCAAATGCTAATGATGGTACCTATGTAGGATTCGATATTATGGATTCACATTTTACTACAGATGTTAGCATTTGGCATTATATTTCCGACCGGAATGGTTCTTGGGGTAGGTGACAAAGATGAAAGGTCAATATCACGGCATGCTAATGGGATCATCAGATTGTGCGAAATAGATGGCATGTGCCCGTACAAGTATTAGGAACAGTTATCGCGGTGGTGGGATATTTCTTGGGGCATCTCCATGGAGGACGAGTCTTTGCGAAGAATGCGCATTCGGCATTCGCCAATATCCTGATGCTTATGCTTGCCGTTCAAGTCGTTTTCGGTATCTACCTCAAGTTCCATATCACCAAAGGTTTCCACGGAAAGATTCGAAAGGTCGCGGTTCATGGGCATGGAATTGTGGGAAAGACAATGCCAGTCGTTGCATGGGTACAAATGCTTTTCGGTGGTATTACAGCTTTGGGTTTCTGCCGTGATGATCATCTTGGTCAATGTCTTGCACACTTCATCATGGGTAGTGCATTCATCGGATATGGTATCCTGCTTACGATTGTTATGCTTGTTGGACAAGTCTGGTTGAAGAAAACCGGGCGATCCCAAGAATTCTTCGACTCAGCGGTTATTGCAGCTTGGGGTTGTGTCAACACTTTCACGGAACATAGATGGGGTGGTCCATGGGTTGCAAACGATATTCAACATACTACCATGGGAGTAATCTGGTGGACTGCTGGTTTAGCAGGAGTTTGGTTGAGCAGAAAGAGGGACGGTTCGCCAAAGAGGAACTTTATTCCTGGTTTCGTCATCTTCATCACTGGATGGGCTATGTCTGGTCACCCACAACATCTTCCACTCAGCACCATGGTCCATAGCGTTTTTGGATATACTCTGATGGCTGCTGGACTTTCAAGAATTATTGAAATTGCATTCGTTCTGAGAGATAGGGCCACACTTTCCGAGGACGGTGATGCTAATAGTTTCCAATACGTTCCACCATTCGTAAGTATTCTTTCCGGATCAGAAAAACTTGGGCTAATCATTATAGTTACTTTACGCATCTGGATTTTTGTTCATGGGAGCAACCGAAGAACAGATGAAACTGATCTCTGATTCAGGAATCACTCACGTATCCTACGTCCTTGTGTTATACAGTTTCTCCTTCCTCGTCTTCTTGTTGACCAACGTGTTGGTTCATGTCTATGTGGTCAACTCCAGTGCGCCTCCAGTACCCCCAAAGGACGGAGAAGAAGCTGCAGCCCGAGTCCCACGGATGAATGGACATATTCATACGGATTCAAGACAAATTCGAGATGCGGAAGAATTTGAGTTGGAGGGATTAATGAGTGAAGACGAATCACCAGAGAGCCCGAGCACTTTAGGAAAGAATAATGAGGCTCGAGTTGCGTAAATTATTTCAATTGTCTTTTCATTTTGGGATTGGTAGACTAAAACCCCGGGGAGGTTGTTTTTCCCTTTTCCCTATTCCATTTTCCCCTTTTCTATATCTAGTCTATTGAGGGTATCATATGCATCAGCGGGCGTTCCTCTTTGTTACAAGAATTGTACAAAATCATATGAATCATATGTTCAACGCAGCCAGCCCATTCTCGTCCCATATCTTGCGTCCAAATAACCCAGGCCATAAAACGTTGTATAGTGAATGAATCCGATCAAACATCAAAGAATATCCATCCGATCATATTTATCCCACACATAATCATCCAACCAACCCGTGGTAAACCTACTCCCCACTCAATCTACCCAACTCCTCCACCACATTCCCCACACACCCCTCAATCTTCCTCTTCTCCTCCGCACTCATCTTCCTCAACACATACCCCGCCACAACCCCCGCATCCCTACTCTCGGGCCTGCCAATCCCAATCCCAATCCGCGTATACGCCTGTCCTCGCAACGCATCGCGTATACTCTTCAACCCATTATGACCCTTTGGACTATTGCTCCCCGGTTTAACATTTATTCTCCCAGGCGCCAACTCGAGTTCGTCGTGGATAACAACTAATTTGCAATCGGTAGAGGAGGGAGAGGATGAGGAGGAGGATTCGCGTAGGAAGGTTGTCCAGGCGGCGTGGACCCCAGAACCGGATATGTTCATGGAAGAGCTGGATTTCCAGAGTGTGTAGGGGGTGCCAGGGGAGAGGAGCCCATTGCCGTGGGATCGCGATTTGCTGAAGGGGGAGAGGGAGAGCGTGGATCCGAGGAGAGTGAGGATCGTGTGTCCGGCGGAGTGCAGGGTGTTGGTGTAGGGGGCGGGGTTGCCGATGGAGCAGATGAGGAGGCGGGTCATGGTGGGGGGGAGGGAGAGGGGGGGTACGAGGGGGGAGTTTTCGAGATTCGAGTTCGGGTGTGGGTTTTTGTGGTTGGTTGTTGTTGTATTTGTATTCAAGGATAGGGATTTCGAGGCATCGCTTTCAGAATTCGAATTAGAGGTAGACGTAGCCGTAGATTTAGGCACGATAGAAATAGAGAGTTCGAAAGCAAGAGATTGCGCAAGGAGGGCTTGTCGTCGTTGTTTGCGTGTTAGAGGTGGTATAGGAGGAGGAGATGATGATCGTGATGATGTTGAGGAGAGTGGTGGTGTAGGTAATTGTGTTTGTTCTGAAACTTGTGATTGTAATTGTGTTTGTGGTGATTGAACGAGTATTGTGTTGGAATCTTGTTTCCCCTCGGTCGCTGTCACTGGTACTGGTACTGGTACTGGTACTGGTGATGATTTTAATTTTTTTGTTTTTGTTTGCGCGCGGACGCGGACGTGATTGTGCTACTGCTGCGTCATTTTAAAGTAGAGTTCACAGGGGTGGTGGGTTTTAGGTGAATTTTCCGAATATCGGATTCTTTAATACTTTACTTGTATTATGATCGAGGGATAGGAATTGATTTATATATTATTAGAAATTTAAAAAACTGTACTACAGTACACTTTTCTATTCAAGTTCCAAGTTTAGTGTGACATATCATATCAACTGTAGAGTACCGGGTATTAGTAGATTTTAGCTCAGCATACCAGTGGCATACCAGTTACAGTAATCCAACGGATTTGAGTCATCACCGAACTCATTAGGGCACAAGTCCAGTGATGTACTATTATTTATCATCCATTTACATTCCCGGCTTACATCGAGTTAACCTTATACTAGCCAAAGATAGTTCGTCTTAGTGGATGGAGCTCTTAGTGAGAGATAAAAAAGTCAAACTAGAAGCTACTGAGGTACTTAGTGGTACTAGCATCTATATTGTCTTTGAGCTGTTGGAGGCCACGAGTAGATGAGAATAGATCGCTCGCATGGCTTCCTTTGTGCCGAGATGAAATCTGGCTCCTTTGGTGATGGGTTGAAGATTATATTCTAGATGGATCTTGCATAGTACTCGTATAGGGAAGAAGGTGTATTATTGGGAAGACGAATGTACACACTGATTACGGTGCTTGATTTCGCAGTTGTACATGTCACTTGAATGGTTGGGGTATTCAAATAGATGAGTTTAGAACTGGTCGTATTGTATTGAAACCTGCTTACAATCCCCGACTCCCAATCATTATCATCTAGTACGTACAGTCTCATTATTCGTAATCGTTCAAAACACTATCCACACAAAAAGAATGTTCGAGTCTCATCCAAAACATTGAACAGAACTCCATATCCCGTCGCATCCATTCTCTTCTATACCTCACATGCTTTCGTTCGTGCTCTACTCAGAATACACTAGTGTCGTGAACACTACGGTAGGTGAACACTACATTGAGTGACTGGCGGATGGTAGACCTCAGGTTGACTTTGCTTCGTAATCTTCATATTGTGTTGGGGCACAAATTTTGTCTCCACCTCATCCTTTCTAGGGGCTGCGGAACCGGACATGCAATGGCCTCCATCTTTGCGGTGGCGATGGATGCATTTCACCAGAATGACAAAGGTCACCATGAAAAGGCACCTGCACACCATTAGCAAGCATCCACCAGGCGGATCAGCTTGACACTCACCACTCCACAGCAGACAATGCAAAAGTTGCAATCATAACATTCCTATACGTCTCCCAATTATCGATTACAAAATCCCCCATCTCCTCCTCTATTGGAGGCAATGAAACTGAATCGTCCATATAATCGATATTAGGCTTGTTTGCAATAATCCTAGCCACAATATCCGGGGCGAAGAAAGGGAAAGCCACGAGCCAAAGCAGCGAAGCCAAAATATCGAGCCCGAGTACCGCCCAGTAGTTGTATATGACGGGTACTGCCGTACTCGCCAACATCACATAGAAGCAGATGACGATCGACATAGCGGCCTGCGAGATATATGATATTAGTCTTGCTCTTGAATGTCGAATGAATAGATAGAGAGAAGATACCATGTAGATGAATCCAAGGGAATAGAACACAATGCGCTCTTGGGCAAAGATGAGCCAATATAATCCATAAGCCGAAAGACCAAGTATGGCCATTGCGAGCAGTAATTGTGCAACGCGCAGTCCGAATAATAGTCCCCTGGCCCCGGGAATATGGGTTTTTTCCTTGGAAGCCATCTTTGAAGCTTAGCAGTGCTCAGGGTTCGAATTCGTGGGATGTTGGATAGCTACAGAAGTTTTATAAATAATATATTGATACGATAATGTAATGGATACTTGGACTTGAAAGATTGTGTGCGATGTGATGCGAATCATGTTTATATTTGAAGGTGGAGAGTAAGTTGTAACTCCTTCAATTATGTGGTCTCTCGTACCTTCCGATTCTTGTCAATACCGTGGGAAGGAGCTATGCTATGGTATGACATGGTATGGCCAAGATATCTTCAGCATCATGACTAGCTGCGTATCTTCACTTACATACTCAGCGATCACTTCATAATCTATAGACTATCATAAACAAACGTACTTTCCACCTGTACAATTCCTAATTTACAAACCCCATGAGTAGTCTTTAAAGCAACAGCAAGATCCAACCCATCCAGTGTCCACCTCGTCACTCGTGCATATTACCTGACAACCAAAAGATCAGCCTTCCTTCTAAAATATATGTAATTCATCAAAGCAACTACGGACGGTTCTAGGTATATACAACTCCCATCGCGTGATCTGAATTTCGCACACGCAGTACGTTTGCATACGTCACACTTATTCCATCCAGACTCCCAATTTACTTCCGTTCGATTAATCTCCCTCTCCCCGCCCTCCCCCCGCGCCCCCTTCCATTAAATTTTCAGCTCACCCATCGAAAAACGGTAGCAAATATTCTACGCGTTTCAAGTATCAAGTGTGACGTGTCAAGGGTCGAGTGTCGAGTGTCGAGTGTCAAGTGGTATCCCCTTGACCATGCTCTTTCTCATGTGAACATGGTCTAGTTGCAGGATAGTATAAATAGGTGCGATTGAACCATTAATATAACGAACTTTAGACGTCGAAATTTAAATCCGTCTAAGGGAGGGAGGTATTAGTTCATACCCTGCTACTTATTTGTATTGGATACTTAGTGAGTGGGATTTCATCACTCATAAGGGTATACGAGATCAGAAACATCAGATCAGATGGAAATCAGAAGAGTAAATCAGTCTTGAAATATATGAAATAGCTCAGATTATGAGCCTAGGAATGAGCAAACTGGAGCAGTGTTTCAATCATTGTCCTTTGAATTTGTTTTCCCAATGTTCGGTGCGTTCTGTGTATATACTGCTTATGCTTAAGTCAAGTCATGGTTTAAACATTTTTACATGTATACAGTTGAGTTGAGTTCTTCCGATAATGTTATTATCATTTGATTTTAATGCTATCCTATCTGATCTTAACTCAATAGGATGAATTGTCTGGTGAATATGGTTATGGTCGAGCATGGATGGATTTCCATGATATGATTGATGCATCTCGCTATTTGTCCCAATCCATTCAATATCCCATCTCATCTCAGAGTAGATGTTTTATCTTTCCTCACTATATATCATACAATTCCATCCCATCCCATCCCATCGTCTAATACCCCTACTACACTACCCCAACACCCTAACAAACAGCCATTACAAAAAGTAATCCCCATCTCCATCCCCATCTCCATCTACAAACACCACATCGCACCCCCGACCACCAAACCCGCCCAAACCACACTCCCTACACTCCTCACCCTAGCCCCCATCCCAATCGCCCCACTCGTCGCCTTACCCGAGCCCGAACTCGCCGCCGCCGCCGAAGTCGAAGTCATAGTCCCATCCTCCTTAGCCTCCTTAGCCTCCTTCTTCTCCGTCATCATTGCACTACACGCATCCACCAAAGTAGTGTTACTCATCATAGTCGTAAGTTTCATCTGTGCCTCCGTAGCTTTTTCCTGATATTTAGCTTCTTTGGTTGCGTTGCCGTGGGTTTTGTCTGCGAGCTTGGTGCTGTTGGCGGCGGTGTTGATGGTTTTTTGGAGATCTGTTTGTGGGGTGGTATGTTAGGGGGTTTGTGGGGTAGAATGGGGTGGGGATGAGGGTAAAGGATGGGATATGTATGACGACGTACGTTCCATTTCATGGCACTGTTTTTTAGTTTGATGTGCGGCGTCCATAACGGCGCAGGTGGATACAAGAGTGGTATTTGCTTGCATGGCATCGAGTTGAACAGCTGCAGAGCTGGCTTTAGCAACGACACTGTCGATTTTCGTTTGGTTGTTGTCGGTTTTGGTGGCTAGCTTTGTGGTATTCTGAGCTTCATGAACGAGTTTCTCGAGATGGTTCATCTCTTTGCAAAGACTCTTGTCGGTGACAGGTTTAGTGGAGTTGCCTTTTGCGACCACGGCTGTAGCCGCGAGCAGAGAAAGGAAGACGGTTGAGAATTGCATTTTGATGGTTGGAACTTGGTTGATGATTGATTACTGGGAAGGATATTGAAAGGTAGATGGATAGATTTCTATTGGAAGAAGTGGTAGAAAATGAGAAAAGACGGTCCTGCCGAAGATTTTTAAAAAGATAATGGGAATGTAGAATGGAAGTGATGATGCCAGATACTGTGCTAAGAAAGATGAAGGTGTTCCTTATATACATACTCCATTTATAATATCAATACCCTCCTTCCCGCTTCCGCTTACTTTCCCTCAAGTTATCCCTTCATGTCATATCAATAATAGATTTCTACCCCATCTAGCCCTATCTAGCTCTATCAACGTATGCGCTAAGACCTATCAAACTAGACGTACTGGGTAGGGATACCACACAAGATACCTAACCCTCCGTATCAAAGTTCATAAATACACACCAAAGGGACGCGAATATTCGAACTTCAGTTCCCAATCCGTGAATATGATCAAACCTCTTTGCGGAGACGGTCGTCCACCACGATCCCCAGGATCTAGGTCAATCGTTTACCCATGTTTGTATCTCTCAATAGTGCATTTACCATGTAGTAACTGTATCTCATCTCTCCCTTTGGAGTTTGATCAAGCTTCATCTCCCTGAAGAACAAACCCCGCTGGCCATAGAGAAGCATAGGAAGTATACACACGGAACACCGAGATGCACACCTCACTCAACGCCAGAAACCCAACCAACGAGGCCCAAAAAGAACCTTCACAGCAAATCCGTTTCGCTGACGACACCCACAATCCCAAGATTGGTCGATTGAAATTCATCTTCACTCGAAGAAGCATGAGCGTGACATTCCCAAACAATCAACGTTTAAGAGCTCATTGATAAAGCTTATGGTAGGATATTTTAAGCAAGTTTCAGTTGTGGGGAAAGATCTACGAAAATAATCCTTGAAAAGCCCGGTGTCTAACAGCTCTATGGCGTTTCAAAATAATCCGAATCATGTCACAGATATTTTTAAAAGTTGATGATGAGTCAGTCGACAAGAGAAATTTGAGGAATTCACCAAGTTGATGTCGTCTTTGATGGTTGAGCCGAATTGAGATGAACGAGAATTGTGAGGTGGAGAGTGGACGCATACACGTCTGAGCAACCCGGGATGAGGACGACGAAAAATAAATTTACGCGAGAGACATTCCAGTTGATGAGATGATATTGATGAAACGATGGCTTACATAACTTCAAGCACCTTCATACCCATAACTAATCCGAGGTATCATTCTGTGACATTTTGCCAATGACGCTTTTGTGCGTCAAATGTCATATCATAGACAATACTTACTCGGTTTGATCGAATCGAGGTCGTGATTGGAATCTCGCAAAGAGCAAGATAAATTATCGTGTCTGGAGAAAAATAAATCATAGATGAACACATGCTCAGTCCTTTACAATTAGGTCTGGCAATGGTATACAAGTTTCCCAAACGCCTTCGCCTTCCTTTGGTATCGAAGTCAAGTGACAAAGTTTACCAGTTGAAACCATAACTCTCATCCATGTAACCCCAGTCATATATTCATGAAGTAGTACCATGCAAATAGCAATCCTTGATATCAATCCTTATGAGACTCCACTCAAACAGTTCCACTGATGCTTAATTCGCGGATTTCTTGCAGAACCTGCTCAACCCTGCTATCCAGATGTCCTTGCGCATATTGTTCTCTTGTGTCAGCGTCTAAATATTGTTGTACTTGTGCCATTCTGGAGTATGCCTCAGCACAGAAGCGAAGTTGGATCTTGACTAAAGCTTCGAAACTTGGATCAAGATAAGGAACACGGAGATCGATAAGTTGAGGAAGTTCGTTGAAGAGTTGATCATTGAGTTGCTCATAGGCTGCCTTGGCCATTTCGGTCTCCTTTTCGGCACGAGGAAGCTTCGTCACATCCTTATCTGGCTTCTCGACGAGCTTCTTGACCTTGGCACGCATGGCATCATAGTCGAGGAGCTTGTGGTTACGCTTCTTAATACCTAATGTTTGTTCAGTAGGAATCACAATATATAAGTAAACGTTTCTTACACTCATTGATATCTGGGAAGTAGGCACAGAACCTGGAGATGGGCTCCAAGACGGTAGTACTGACGATGTTAGCTTCATACATTTTGCGCAAAGAATCCTTGGAATCTTACCGGTATGGACCATCAAGGGCTTTGATTGTTTCGGCATCGAGATCCTCTACAGCTTGCTTGTAACTACGACTAACACCATCCTTCGCACCGGCGTCACCATAGAAGGCATCGATGGTCTCAGCAATATGCATTTGGGAAGCGGTCATTGCTGCATGGTCGTTAGTCCACCTTCAAATATCCACAGTGAGTCTGCTTACCTCTTAACGAATCCAAGTAGCCTTTTGACTCCTTCTGCAATCGCAATGAGGCAGCTTCCATCGTACGGTAACGTCTACGAGCAAGGTCAACACAATGCTCTATTCATCATCCTTCCTGGCTTCAATGAATATGGCAACATAACGACCGTCCCCTTCCTGGCCTTCTGACTCTGATCATGGGCCGGAAAAGGCCGATCCTGACGCTATGACGGAGTGGAAGGAAGGTAAGAGCTCGAAACATCAGATGGTGTTGCGACGGAGTACATAGTAGGGCTTGATGGATAATAAATAAGAGAAGACGTGGATAGGGTCGATGCGAAGTTTAATGAGGGGGGCGAGGGATGTCTCGATGAATTATGGTCTTCATATTCGGCCTCTTCTTGATCTTCGGACTCTGAGTCTGAGCTGATGGAATGCCCCGCGTACTCCCACATTATTCGCCACCGCTCTTGTTCCGCAGTAATTATGCCCATCCGCTTCCTGGTTTGACTGTCGAGCTCGCGCGTCATGGAGTCGTCTTCGCCCATTGTTGTAGCCATTACAATTGTAAAGAAATTGTAACTAACCTTTCCTCGACCTCGTAATCGCGATCATTTGTCTTCTCAACATGCCCTTAAATATCAATTAGCTACTGCCTAGAAATCAACAAACAGATACCTCGCAGGGTACGTGGGTGGGACAACGTTATAATCATAAGTTGTCGACCCCCGCAAGTTTCTCGGATCTTGTTCACTTACCAGTCTTCATCATAACCTGAGTGGTGGCTCGATTGACATTCTTCTTAAACCCTTTTAATAAATATATGATTAGTCCAGTCCTCTTATGATGCTATAGTTCGCAGATGCGTTCCCTCTTACCTGCCCACGACATGATGACTGGTTATTCAAAGTATACAAAACAACAAATAGTTAGGTATCTGTAAGATTGGACTGCGAGTGATATGGAAATGAATAGGTATTAGAATGTCGAAAAGCTTTGGGTTTGTATGCGATCCACTGTAGAAGTTGTGAAGAAAGAGGGTGGTGTATCAGCAATAGTGGTTTAAATGTGAATGTATTCAGAAATCAAAACTTGACGACGATGATGATGAATTCCAGTCCGGGTGGTAAACTTGGCTTGTGGCGCAGCTGAAAGCATCGGTTCGGTAAAAGTATTCACCGAAGTGGGAGGCGGCCGCAGTCCGAGCTTCCAAAATTATTTTTCCTCATTCCCAATTCTCCATACTAAAGAACTCCATCTTCAAGTCAATCCACAACTCGAAATTCGAATATTATCTCAAGATGGCATCCAAAAGCAACCCCAATGTTCCCCAGAAGCAGCGCAGGGTCGCAAACCGATCCAAGACCCAACGCAAGAACGCCGTCAATCACATCTCAAAGAATGCAAGAGGTACAAGAACCAGTACTGTTCTACACCCTACAAGTGGGCCTTTAGCACCTGTATCCGGAAAGAAAGCTCGCAAGTTACAGAAGGCGCAGAACTGTGCACGTCAAAGAGCGTTGGAGCAGGCATTGAAAGAGGAAGCAGAAGTCAAGATGACTGGTAAGTATTTCACGACTCTACGATTGAAATTCGTACTATGATGCTAAGTATGATTCTAGATGCACCAACCGAGGGCGAGGGAATGGAGATCGATAACGCCGCATAAGTAATGCAAACATTGCAGAAATCACTGGAGTAATGGCGATTGGAGTTATGGTCAAAATCTCGAGAGCCACTTGTTGAAATGAAGATATTTGTTTTCAATCGCAAGAGATGCGCGATACGGTTGTTATGTCCGGACAGAGGGATTTGCGGATATCACATGGATACATTCTGCTGGTTGCGAAGCTGTATCAAGAGTCTGAATGCACACAAATGCTTCAAGCAAAATAAAATTCGGCATTTACTTTGCTTTACAGCAACTATTTACGTTTCTCATTTGATATGCTCATATACACCCAGTTTCTGACTCCGCTCTGCTTTAAAAACTATGGATACGCCCTCTTCGTTGCTGGAACTAGTCCCGGGAAGAAAGTGGTAGGAATCGTGGGAATAGGTATACTAGCCGTGAGCGCATACCCAGCAGCTATATCGTTCGGCATCTTGGCAGCCGAGTACCCAGAAGGAGCCGATGATACCGTTTTCGTCACAATTGCATCTATCATAGCACTCATTAGCAATTGTCATCATCAGAATATCTCGCAACTCACAAGCTGTATGCGCAGACCCGTGAACCAAGCATCCTCCATCACCCCAGGCATTTTGACATTTATATAATTCGCGACTACCTTTGTCTGTCCAGATCGCAAAATTCGTGATGCCTAAGCCAGTGCAGGGCTGTTTTGTTGGACAAATAATTTGGATAGGTGCTCTAAGAGTACCATCCGCGCAAGTTCCCTTCCAGTTTGAGAAAGTAAGACCAGTAAACAGGACGCCATCACCAGCTGCTGGTGTCGATTTCCAATATGCGTCGATGTCGAGAGAGTATGCATTGCTGTGTCCGATGAAGTTGGAGAATACACTGTCAGATACCGATCCTGTACGACCTTCATTAGAGAGGCGGGTGATGAGCGTGATCAATCACAGACACGTACCTGATCCACCATTACTCTTGATCATAAACATTTGGTTGGATTGCCAGGTGTATATGTTGTTGTAGGTAATCTTTGAAATGGCGGTATCTCCTCCCAGACTTCCAATAGCACATCCACCGCTCCAATTACAATGGATGTTCTCGATCAGCATATGATTGGATGGATTCTACGTTCTGTCATTATCATGTAATACATAACCAGACATCAGACAACCATAAACTGTAATATTCTAGGCTCGATACGTCGGATGACGAAAGATTTTCTGGCTGAGAAACATAAGAGCTATAAACATACCTTGACAGTAACGCATTCGTCCTTGTTGGTAACCTCAATATCGTGAATATGAACGTTGAAGCCCCAGACATTGATGCCGTCTAGTCCACCTTGGTTTCCACCACGGATAATCAGGTTGTAGACCTGGCCGTTTTGTACCGTGTCGAGAATGAGATGGAATGCCGGAGCTGGTAAGACGTGTTAGTGGACAACGACATAAGTATATGAGAAAGAATAGCTTGCTGAGATTCATAAACATGGAATTTGTTGGAATGTATTCATGGAGAAAGGCGGAAACATGGCAACGAAGGGAAGCTTACAGTCAACGAGAGCGATGTCATGAATAGAAAAATTAATGACATTGACGAGTCGAATGAGACGAGGGCTTTACTACAGGTCAATGATATTTCGAAGAGTCTTATCATCATGAGGTCTTACCCGTATATGCCTTGGGCGTGAAATACGTATCCATAACCTTGAATGGCACCACTTGATCTGCTACTGTAAATCTCGAAATCGGTTGAATTTTGGACTAGTGTTCAAGTCAGCAAATCCCTCGGATTTATATCTATCGCTGGCAAACTTGCCGATAATCATGTGTCCTCCCGCAGTTCTGTGGCCAAGTTCTCAGTGATTTTCAAACATGTTCATTGCAGCAAGATAGCACGTACCCAGTTCTGTAGATGACACCCTCGAGGTTGATGGCCCAGGCCTTACCGCCAGATAGTGTAACCCATGTAGACATCGCAAAGTTACCAAGAGGGATATTCACTAAGTAGTTACATCAGTATGTCATGCAAACAACGCACCAGCATATAAACTTACCGACACCACCATTTGCGCAAGCTTTGAACGCCGCGAGAAGAGGCGGCCCCAAATCCGTTTTCCCATCCGCTACTGCGCCATACTTGGTGACATCACAGACCTTCTTTGCCCATTTCGCAGATGATGTTGTAAGAGGACCAAGAGGGTAGCCAGAAGCTAGCTGGGCAGATACAAGAGATGGCAAGAACAGAGACACGGAAAGAAGGACGTGCTTTAGATTGAGAAGCATTGTGCCTGTGAGTTTGAGAGATCCCAGAGTTACGTATTAGCTTCGGGAACGATAATATGAACGGAAAACTGGAGAGAACATGGTGAGCACATATAACTTCATAGCGTTCTCCAATCCTGGTTGAATAGACCCTTTAGGATGGTAAATCATGTTTTGCCAAGCGTGCTTCTGTTCTACCGGATATCTTAATACCCCCTTACGCTGATAGCTACTTTCAGAAGATTGTTCCGTTTATATGTAATAGTGAGAGAAGTAGAGAGGGGTAGAAAAGTATATGCACGTAAAAATATGCACTTTTTCGACCTTCCAGAATAGGGAATTATTTCTACCGAACGAAGTAATGATATACATCGAAAAGGTGACTAGCGACGATCAAACGGCGAGCTTGCTATGTTAGGCAAAATGCCGATACTTGGTAACCCGTGATTTAAGGTACGATTGGCGATTCGTGGGATAAAGACTTGCGAGCGCGAGAAACCATTGATATTGGCAGGGATAATAATAGCGTCTTGGCCACAACAAAAGTCTGGGGTACTATGATGTTAGGACTACCCCCAGATATCGACCGGATGAATGTGAGAAGGCCAGGGGGGTTTGACGGAAAATAAAGCCGACGGGTGATATCAGATGGCATGCATGCAAGCAATAAGATTGTGTGGGCATAGCTACAAGCACAATGAAAGTAACCCCCGGTGCCGCAGAGTTTCAAGAAATGTAATATACCGAAGCTCACTCTCCAGCTCTTATACAACCAGAGACACCCTCTCGAATCGTTCACTGAGCAACATTCAAGATTCCAAATCTCCATTGATTGTTGACGTTGTGCAACTCTTAAGATTAATAAGGTTGCGCTATTTTTATGATACCCTTTCCGGTAGTGCGTTTTGCAGTCACCAACATGAGTTACTCCGGAGCCTGCCGTATCTTCCGTGTGGAGCTTATTACGATCTCTCTCGATAGCATTAGGTCGGCCATATCTTTGCAATCGATGCCATATCGCGCAACATTGCGCCGAGGAAAGATGTTAATTTCTCCATCCACACCAATTAATGAACACCCCTATAGCATGCAGTAGCCTCTGCCATGCTGCATATCTTGGCACTGGCAAGCCGCAGTTATTGATGATAGTGATGAAGTTATGGTCGTTACCCAAAGATCCGTTTGATCCATATACGCTTCAACGACGATCGTTGGCTCCTATCATGTAATTGAGGAGCGCCAGTTGAAAGTGAAGAAGCTCATCGACACACTCAACATACAAACGAATGCTCATCGAGAAAATCATGTCTTGTGTATCTGCTCTAAAGTCTTTCGGGAGACTCAACAATGAAGAGAGGAGGTCTCATTAAGGTTAACTTACCCATTTATGGAATAAAAAGTGGGGTACATGGACACCAATACTTTTTGGAACAAATGCAGACGACTCAAAATACATTCGAGCATTAGCATTCTGAGGCGATATCAAGATCTCTCTGCCTTGCATCAAAATTATCATGGTCTCTTGCTGTAACGGCATAACCAATATAACCTCCTCCGGAACTGTGGCTGGAGTAGAGTTTCTTTGCATGATGTAAAGATCTTATCTTGCGCTATCCCAACCATATCTCTTTTTACCAACCCATTACGCAAGTTGTAAATGGGAGTGATGATACTTGATAAGTCGATATTTATCATGGGAAACTTTTAATGGTTTCCAGACTGAGTAATCACAACTTACTGTATCAAGTCATCCTGTGCCTTTACCTTTTGTCTTGGCGTTGACAAGATTCATCTGAAGGATCAACAAAGGTATCGGCTTTTCTGTTAGCTTTGATATTGATTGAAGTCAAAAGTCTTTTTCTTGCTTTTATTTAGATCAAAATTTAATGCGTTGATTGGATTTAAAGCTACAAGTTTAATCATAGACATCGGTTCGTAGTTGTTGGCAGCAAATTCGATATATTCTGTTTGCATGCCGGTGACTTTGGGATACTTTGCTACAAGTCGTAGTGGCAGTGTTTAGATAGAAAGTCTGCTGCCTTGTGAATAACTAATGTTTTGTTCCCTTGATCTTAATTATGTGTTCCGTGCTTAGATGTACAAGCGCATAAACTCAAGCACTCGAAAAGTTTATGCCTACATCAAATCAAGTTTCCATTCAGTCCACAGGCCAATGAAGAATTGTCCCACTTGTGAGCACCACTACACCTACGTACGTCCACACCAAGATATACAATCGAGAGACTAGACAAATTCTACACCTCATTATGTCCCCTTTTTTTATTATAGCTATAAAGGTTCAAACACTTGTTGGCTGTGATGCCGTGCTGCGTCACAGAATACCGACTCCGGTCTTTCAAAATTGTAGGAGACGAATCGTTTGCCAACATCTTTAATGGCTATGCGCTGCTGGATCAACTGGAAGTACCCATTCCAAAGTCAATACCTGGTGAGACAATTACCTTCACGGATAGTTCCTACATCGACCTCGATGGCACACTCATAGAACTCGATTTTAATCTTCCCAAAGTACTCATTTGACTATGATGGGTAAGTGATGAATCCTATTCTTGTGGAATTTCCAATAAATCTGACTGTTATGCAGACGGTGAGAAATTGTGTCGAATTCATTTGGGACGTTGGAACTCATGTGGAACATTCAAAAGTATTAAAATATTAAAGTCCTTGGAAACATTGAAAGGTTTCGACTCCGACCTCACTCCGGACTATTGAGCACCTTGCCTTCTTAGTCTGATGGTATTCGACTATTTGGAGCAAGCATTATTATCGTAGAGTGGAACAGCAAAATTCGGAAAGAGGGATGTGAATTCACAACCGCCAATTATGGCAGCAATAACATGGATGAAGAAATCATTATGGTCGGCGATGTGAAAGCCGCTAATGATGCTTTGACCGACGCAACAAGACTTCAGTCATCCAGCATAACCTACTAGTCATAGAGCCAGATTGCAGGACCGAGTGATATTGGGAATCTGAAAATGGTTGTGTCGCAGAATGCCAAGAATCTCAACTGTTTTGTTCTAATATTTGTAAAATCCTTTTTCTCAGTAGACTAAGGAACACAAGAAGCGAATCGCGCTTTACAAAAGTTCGTTGCTAACTCCAATCAATATTTGCCCTGATAATTTTTTCGAACATGCCATAGTTGCTGCGGTGTCTCGGTTTTTTAAACAGGAAGCTGTGTGAATCGATGGGGTATTTTTTCTTTCTCCATCGCCTGCATTGAGTAGTAGCTTCACAATATGTTGCTGACCAAGATACATTGCTATAAGAACTGATTGGTGGCTTTTATTGGGTTTATCATAGAGACAAACGCCAGCCTCGATCAAGAGATGCGTTATCAAGAGGTTTCCACGTTTGACCGCATATTCGGATAGAGACTATTTGCCGGTATGCCTATTTTCGTAATGTCGCCCCTTCTTCAGCAACATACGCATTACGACTCCAGCGTGCGGCTATGGCTATTAGAGTTACATTCGATGAATAATCTGGATGTATTCTTTGTTTTGTTATGGCGTAACCATAATTGACGATTTGACCTTTGTCAACTGTGTAAATCCTTACATCAAAACCAACATCAAGGTTTCGTCTTGAATTTGTAATGAGTTAACGATCTTAGCATCATTATACAATAATGAATGAATGATCTTTGAATGCCCTTTTTAAGCGGCACAATGGATGGACGAACAACCAGGCATGGTGAGGACGTCCTTTCCTGCAATGCGGTTGACGTCTACGCCACGATTGAGCATTACTTTGACTAGGGTTTCTTTTACCAAAAGTGCAGCTTGAAGGAGAATGTCTCCCTTAATGTCCGACCTTCAAGGCTGCATTTGCTAGGACACATCTAGTAGAAAAGAAGCATGTCCCACAGACCCAGTCCTCGCCGCAATGCGAAGAACTAGTCGAGTTTCATACTTCAGAAATGGTAGTACATCATTAAAGCGTAGCTACACATAAGTACCTTTGAAGCTTCCAGGAAACCATTCCAAGCAGCTACACGTAAAGTGACATCCGAAGAACCGAAAACCCCCTTTCTTTCTCATAAACTCGCGTTCAGTGAGGGCCGTACTATGGTTGAATTTTTCATTCAGGTCAGCACCGTAATCTAGAAGAATCCGATTTGAGTCGAATTGTCCGTATCATAAAGCAATGTGTAACGGTCTGCCAAAACACTTGCTTCTGAAGCTGGCGTTGTCATGGTGGTTTTCAAGCAAGTTTTGCAAGTTTGAAATGTCATCGGTGATTATGGCAAGGCAGAGCTATACTTTAAGTCGAGTATTGCTCCGGCATTTGTAATGTCTGTGGGGTGGACATTGTCGATTATAGGGATAGGGTTGATAGCTCTAAGCTAAATTGGATTACGGGATCGTAACTGTCGTATGCCGTCCGAATCCCTGCAGCTTGAGGCCTTTAAATTAGCTGTTCCTCTGCAGTTCCACACATGACAAGTTCAAAGTTCATCTGCTCTTCGCCGTGTAATTCTGTGCATCATCTACAGCACAAAGCACTCGATATAGTGGTGCGATAACTGCGGCGGTGGATCATGTTTCATCTATGTAAATGAGAAGTGGCGCAACGCGGGTTAAATTTTTTAGGAGGATACGGAGGTATACATCAAAAGCGAGTCATCAACGGGGCCACGATGATTTCTGAAGAATCGACATACATTGCCCTCGTAATTGATGCTCCAAAAGTCTCGTGGAATAGTTGGTACAAACAAGATGCAGTCTCGAGGTGCACTGGCCTACCCCATTCATCGACGTGTCCCAACCCGTCGATCTCGATGAATGGGGTAAACCAGCACAAGCGTATCACAAACTACTCGCAGACCATGCACTTTCCAAAAGCCGACAATTTCCAGTACTTTAGCAAATATCCGACGAGGCCATTGGGAAGGTGAATGAGGCTTATAGCGTTCTTGTAGCCATGTTGACTGAGAAGATCTTGGAAGATGTTCCAGATGCACTAAATATGGCCTGGTAGAGGGATTGTGTTCTATTACCCCAGTGACCACGAGTTTTGTAAGAATGAGAAGGATATAGTGGCTTAGCAGCGGTACAAATCTGCCTATGCCTATACCTATACATCATTGATGGTTTGACTTATTGCAATTAGGTCGTTGGATGATGAATCAGCTCGCTCACCGCCTTTACATTATGGCAGAACAAGCAATTTTTCTCTTCGAGATTTCAACGGTGACTGATGAGCCCTTGACATCCAAAATCTAGAAACTGCAATATACGCTTCATATGAAATACTAGTAGTCCTAGTACTTCACTGGCTAGGAGAGCGGTATATAGTAATACCAAAAATTGTCACATAATCCTCGAGAGGTGCCTCGATGTCCCAGTTTCCATTATGTTCGTACGATGCTTCTCACCAGAGGGAGGAGGGTCGCAGTAAAGAAATCAATCAACATATCAATTGCATTCATACTCAAGGCTTCTCCCGTTAATCCAGTATCTTACTGCGCTTGTTTAGTAACCGTTCGGGGATATCAGAAAGAATGAAAATTAAAGGTCCCAAAATTCCGAGGATTCGGAAATCAACTTCATATGTGTACCCACAGTTGAATCCGACCACTTCGAAGGGGCTATTTCTGTCCATTGCTTTTCCTGTGGCTCACACACAGTATGTGTCCGGAGTTTTCAACTATTATTATACTCGCCTACACATCTACAATAGATATCTCACTCTCGCTAGTTTACACTCAGTCATTTCCACCAGAATCACCACACACGGGCGCAAATCTACCGAGTATAACTGAGACAACCTGCATACTCTGTTCTATGGACTGTGTCTGAGAACAGTATTACTGTCGATGCCGGCTGGAGATATATTATGCATTTTGGTCGATGGCATCCTGGTCAGTGAGAGGATCTGATTTTGGCTTTGAAGTCAAAGGACGAAGATGATACGGGACAGGCAGGAGAGGTGTGAGATTAGCTTGAAGAATCTACCACAATATCCTTCCCCTATCCTAAGAAGAAGTCTTAATAAGTGATGCCGTTTCAATATTTCACTTGCAAACTACAATTACATTCGATCAAGTCATGAAAATTCTGCTTTTCGAGAAATATACTCGGTTACAATACACAACAATGGTGTAAGGAATTACCCGCTGTAGTCAGTGGTAATCTTTGAGACCACAGAGGGCATAGTTGCTCTTCTCGGAGTTTCCAATGGACCTGACTGCAGTCCAACCATAAGAGATTCTCGATTATTGAATCTGTTCTATGTACTGGATTCATTCAGACCTTAGATCCATCTGGAAGAATAAAATCATTGACTGTCAAAAGGGACGGACGAATGTACTATGAGATCCTTGGCCTAGACGCCGCCTCAAAGCCATTACTTTAATAGATCAGATTATCTACCGCGTTCTTACGCTGTCCTACTTAGTGAATCCCAACCGAAGTCCCAAAACCCCCAGAGGAGCCAGATCCGGGAAGCACTTCTGACAAGTTGTCCAAGATAAGATAATTAAGTATTTACAGCAATGGAAGGAGACTTCAAGCAGACTACGAAAGGACCATTTGAGCCTTCCAAAGCTTCGAGGCTTCGAAAAAGGAAGTAGCGCGTAATATGGTGTTGACTGCAAGAATGCCAGGTTGGTGTGGAATGAGGTAAATACATACGATGAGGAGATCTAGGACGATGAGGCCTTTATTGTGTGACCATGTCACCGATGAATTTGGAGTCTTAAAATATCACACGGCCGACGGTATTAAGAGGAACGATGTAATGAGGACTTGGTCGCCTGAAGATAGTACATGATTTCACATGGGACGAAAGATCATGATAGAATTTCTACTCTCAAAATTGGATTATTATTCTCACTCGTACCATCCAATACTGAATAAAAGCCCAATGAAAACTCTTGCTCGCTGTAGGCCGCCACCACTCAAATCTATCAGAGATTGAAGCGGCGGCGCTGTTGTTCCCGATGCTTGTTCGCAGTAAAGATAATCAATGTCCGCCAAAAGAGTATAGATTCGAGAAATCAAGATTGAGGTCCATGCGTGGAATAATTCGCTTTCAGAAGGGCTCATGGGGATTGTGGAAGCATCAAAATTCGTAAAGTTATGACTGTTTGATGATCGATCGAATCCCGGCTCAAGTGCTTAATTTCTGTCAGTATTTATGCCGCTCGTAAATTGGGATTATGCTGGATCACTGTACCTTGAAAAATTGGAGGATTGCAAGTATCTGACATATGAAATCGCGCCTATAGCAGCTGGAAAAGCAGAAGACAAATACCCTCTCACCAACACTGATATTGGGAAGGATTGCGAAATGCTCGTGTATCAAAATTATCAAATTCAGCCGGTACCACTACTTCTGAGTGCTTGAGGTTGTGATGAAGCATTTAATGCCAGCCTGTATGTTGTGTTTAGCGCTCTCGCAGTCGACGAAACAGGATATTCCGTTGCGTAGTTATTCGTGTATTATTGGATTCAACGTGACTGTGGTGTCTGTACCATTCCTCCAGAGGTTCCCACAGCTCTGCCATTTGATCCTCCGTTGGCTGAGTGAGTATCGGATGTTTCCGTAGCCTGGGAGGACTTTCCAATATCGAAACTGCTCTTGACTTCCGGCGCAGCGCGCAACAGCTGGGTACAACGTTCGATATCCATGATCGCAAATCCGTTACTGTGAAGGCTCTGAAGCTCTTGTGGGAGCCAATTCGGCCTAACTACTATAATTCTCTGCACTGAGTCGAGGATATCAGGTTGAAAATTTTGATTCTTGCAATATGTGATCGAATTGTAGTTGAAACTTTTTTGGTAAATATAGATGATTTCCGTGTTTGTGCAACGCATTCATCAATCCTGCCACTGCTGCCAGACCTCCATTTGGTAGACGGGTTCGCTCTTCGGATATCTGTAATCCCTGGACCAGTAAGCCCGCTATGATCCATCGACATAATTCTTCGGCTCTTGGACACCAATGACAATACGGCATGTTGTGCAAATGATTCTATCGATATGAATCGATGGAGTCTTTCATGAGGGCTTTGTAGATGTATTCATGAACTGTTGGATTCCCAGCTTTCTGTTGTTTTTGTACGACTGGATGGAATCTTTCAAGAGGGTTTAGATGTATTCTTCAAACTATTGAATTTCTAGCTATCTGTTGTTTTTGGATGAGAGCGGCTGAAGAAGCATAGATAGATGAAAACTTCCTTTACTCTTTTGTGTGGTATGTCATACTTCGTATGAGCGTTTATAGGGTTCCAAACCTAAATACCTCGAAATAAGGTTTAAAGCTATCTCCACTTTAGTTTAAATAATGACATAGTCAGAGTTCTGAAGAAATATTTTCGTTTAGATACTTATTAGACTGATAATAATCATCACCTTAGCTGGTAATAAGATATGGTTATGATCATCAAAGGCACATTGAAATTCGGAACTAAACCTTCATCGTCGTCGATACTGAGATTCAAGTGGAGTATAAGTGGGTCCAGAGTAAAGGAGATTGTCGCTACTCAAGCGAGTAATAGAAGTGGGGGAAGAGGAGAGAGGAGGTGAGAGGGAAAAGAAAAGAAAATTAAGGGTTTTGAAGTGAATTAACATTGTAAAGAGTTCAATGATATCGTTTGGACAATAACCCTCTTCTGTTGAAGAAATTATGGTTCATTATAGATTTGAAGTTCCTCGAGGTTTTGAAGAATTGGGGGAAAGTAGTGCAGTCAGTAATCCGAACCAGTCGGGAAACTGGCAGTTTGAGTATCATAGACTAAGCCGACTGACGATTGAATTTGATAAACTAAATTACTAGTTTGATTAGTCCGACCAGTTAAAATGGTAGTTTGAACAGTAAAACTAGATCGATTACTAATATGACATCATCATCAGACTAGAGAAACTAGTTAAACTAGTGCACTTGTTCGAGTAGTCAACTATTAACTATAAAAATAAAGAGAGGGTCTAGAGATAGAGAGGAGGCAATGTTCGGAATAATCATCGGGAGGATTTATATTAGCTTCAAAATCTGAAGTCTCAACACACTTTGGACATCACCGCTTGCAAAAGATGTCCAATTTCCTTGTATAATAAAAGGATTTAATTATCACACGCAAGGGAAGGATGTGTATGGAGCACATGCAAGAAAAGGACGTGTATGGAGTGACCGTAAGGATACTTGGTCATCTGGTTTGGCCTCGCTTAATTCATTGGATAAGGAGATTTTAGATAAAAAGGGATAGCATTTAGATGGGGACTAAAAGAGCGTGATTTTATTTGGCTATTATGTCAAAACGCAACGATGTTTTTAGTATATCCTCAAAACTCCGACGCTAGATACTCTACTCGAGTAAGACTGTGGCTTTTCTTGCCCCCCGATATGGCCCACCTAGCCTTTTAATCAATCAAAAATAACCATGGAAACATAAGAAATACTGTAGAGTGCGTCTTCTCACTCCATACCAAGAAGTTAGATCGAAATTTCCTCCAATGTGATTTCTCAAACGACCATAAAGAGTATGGAACGCGTCGAGACCAGCACGAATAATGTAGGACGGCCTTGTAAGATTGACACTAGTACCATTTTCCTGGCCGGGTGAATGAAAGGCGAAATAGTGGAGCCTGTATCATTATAGGGAAGTTCGTCATATCCGGATTTTTGAACCAAAGGACGCCTGGGCCGGGTGGCCTGTTGTCATCTCCACCTTGGGCAAATTTGGCGTTGGCTGGATCGTACCATATCCTACTTTCTGGGTCTTCATACAATTTTGCCTCTGGTCTCCACAGTCCATTGTATGCCTTGTGTTGCGAGTCCCCAAAGTGTTTACAAGTGTTCGGCCAGTCGTGTGGTTTCGATTCATTGATTTTGTTCACTTCCAAAGTGGCATTTTTTATCATTTCAACTGAAAACACGCCGCGATCGTATGGCGGCTGTTGCAGGATTGTTCTTGGAAGAAGAGCTGGACGCTTTGGCAAATCTTCGTTTATATATAACGAATGGTGAAGGGCGCCGCGAATCTTTTCGATGTCCCCGATATCCTCGCTGTCCTGAATGTCCTCGCTTTCCTCGATGTCCTCGCTGTCCTGGATGTCCTCGCTGTCCTCGCTGTCCTGGATGTCCTCGATGTCCTCGATTTCCTCGCTGTCCTCGTTATCCTCAGAAGGTTCGTCAAAAATGGAAGCCAGCATTTCATCGGTAAATCTGGGTATGTTTCCGGGCCAGTCACCGCATTCCTTCACTGCATTCATGAGATCTGCAATGGCCTGCCAACTGCCATCCTTAGGCTCTCCAACCGCCTTATAAGATCTTGAGGCAAGTTTGTCATAGCAACGCAAGCCCACTGTAAGCCAGACCGCGAGTCCTTCGATTTCAGGGTTTGTGTTCCAAGGACTGGGGCTTGGTTCCATGATGAATCGCAAGTGGTTCAGGATCTTGGATTCCAAGGAAGTATAGGTTGGTGTTTTGAAAAGGTAGACGTGCAGACGCTGAGGAAAGAGGAAATTTTGATTCAGGGGGTTGCGTTGATGATGCAGAACAGGAAGCGTTCGGTGTCGGTAACTTACAATCGATAGGATTCTTGAAGGGTCTAAGAGATAGGAGTGATCTTCAGTAGCTGTGGAAAGAGGTGTGTGTATTTTGGTATCGAGGTGGAGTGTGGAAAGTGTATAATGGCAGAGAGTATGATGATGATGTGTGTGGAGGCAAGTTTTGTCGTAGTAGACGTTGTAGCTGACGTGAGGCTTAAGCTCCAGAGAAGAGGTATTTATTTGTATGGCGTTATTGAAGTCGAGACCCAAAGGTGTGATAGTAAAGTGTATCGGAAATTGTAAAATATGTGGTCGTAATCTCGTTGCAGATGTAGAATATAAACTTAAAGGAAAGAAGAGCAGAGGGAGGAATGAACTCTTTTAAGCAGATCTCAAGACCCAGATGACTCCAGGAGAAATACATTTCTCGAGGCCATACATGATTCTTTAGAACACTGTAGTATGAATGTACTCTTAAAAAAGAAAATATGATTGTCGTTGGTCCAAGAAATGTTTAGAATGACTAAAGATTGTCTACACAACACACAATTATAACTATCCATGGTATGAACAATAACTATTGATGTCTGTGAAAATTAAGAACCATGCCAGGGGGCTGTGAATCACTAAGGACCTCTTTAAAAGTATCCAAAAATAACTGATGATTGACTGAAGAAATGAGCATCCTATAATTATCAAAAAACACCCTTACACTGACTTCAAGCCAAGGTCATATATACTACCCAAGAAGTCAATAATCCAATAATACCCAAATCGACTCCAGTTTAACCAAGTATAACTGTCCCAAGAATAAAAAGCAAAACTTGAAGCATAATCACAAATGATCTCCAACAAGAACCTATCACTGCCACAAAAAGTGATTCTCGTCTAAACAATGCGCCGACTTCAAGCAAAGAATCATATCACATCCATCTAGCAAACCAGCTGAATCAGGCCATTAAAAATAACATCACATACACGATACTGGCAGGTATTCACAAGGGAACGCATTTCATGAACAATAACAGGAGATAGAATTATGCCTGTTGCCCACCGAATCTCAAGAGCTCTCTCACTTCAACTTCTCGCCATTACCCATCCTTTGCACCATTCCCTTTCTTATCCATACCCAAGTCCTACTTGAGCGCCGCTACTATGTAAAAAAGAAATTTTTGAAAATAAAAAGAAAGAAATGAAACCCAATTTTAATACTCCAATACGAAGAAACTTCCAAACGACAATACATCCTTCCGCCTTATATGATCTAAACTGCCCGTGGTACAATTGCGAAGCACATGAGAAATGAATTGAGCCCAGTATTAAATATGCTGCGCCGTGTTGAAGAATCGAGATGGTGTGATCGTACAGGTGATGTGAGGACGGAATGATGTTCGATTTCTTTGGTTTATCTTCTTCAGTATAGCATTTGATCGGATGCTCCGGGCCTGAAGCAATCACGAATGTGATCAGGAGAGTGGGGAGCTTCGTCGGGCGAGGGGAGTTTGACGCACGGATTCGAAATAATAAGAATCTCACGTAGGAGGGTTGTCTTTAGGGGTATCTAATCCAAACATGCCAGGGCCCTCGTCGGCGAATTCGTCGCTCATCTGTTCTTGTACCAGAGCAGGACTTTCATAGTCTTTTTGTATCGGAGTAGGACCTCTCCAGTATCCAGGGCTTAGAGCAGCGTCTTCCCGGTCTTCTTGTATCGGAACAGGACCTCCCCGGTCTTCTTGTCTCCCAGAAGCATCTCTCGCAGTCGTAGCTGCATGCTTGGCCTCAGTCATAATCTTAAGAACTGTGATAGCTTCTGTGATTTCGGCACGACCGAACGTGCCGAAAACTTTCCCCTCTAAGACACCATGTGGAAGCCACGTCGGTCTTGTTGGGGAATCTTCAGGCAATTTCCAATTCTCGATTCTTAGAGCATACCGTTCGGCCATTTTTCTGCTGTACACTGTTTTACCAAAGCTTTTATACTTTTCCACGGCGTTCATGAACTCTACTATGTGCTCATAATAGCCGGGACGTACGCTTTTTCTCGAAGGGTTGAATTCATACTGATACAAGCTCCCTGCGAGCCACCTGAATAATTCAATGGCCTCATCGCTCCAACCCCTGTTCGGCATTATAAAAAATAAGTGATAGTGTCTGTCAGAATCTGACTTTCAAGATGGTTATTGCGAAGAAAAGGTATCAAGTTGTAAATCGTTATCGAATTCGTATTATGAGCGTCGAATAAAAAGTATCGAGTACTGTAGTCAATTTATCTGTAGAATGTAAGTACAAAAAGGAAAGTAAAGCAAAGCGGGAAAGCAAAGCTCTTTTAAGCACATTTCCGAAGGCACGAATGATTCAAGAAGAATATTATTTCACGGCCATATTCATGAGAACTGGGAATATTGTGTATGAATGTTCGTTGCATCGTAGAAAACATGTGTGAATGTACTTCAAAACGGGGGTTTATGCGTACCAAAAGCTAGATTCAATAGGAGAAATACCAGGTAGAAAGAAGTATGAATAACCAGAATTACTTGAATCTGACTCCGAAGAGGGGGGTTGTGGATTATAAAAGAGTTACCATAGAAAGAAGTATGAATAACCAGAAATCCACAAAATTGACATTAAACCAGGAGATCTGACTATTAATATTCAAGAATAGTAGATAACCTACCTACAACATATCTGACAAATGAATGCGAACAACAAAGTATATCATAAATTGCCTCTACAGTAACAGACCCATACATAACATTCATAACCAAAAAAAAAGACCTGTGAATCCGAAATCATAGTTTGGATTATATAACTATAACACAAGTGAAAAGAACATTACGAGTCTACAAGTAAATCTGAAGTTCGGATCTCATGAGAATTTTCGACTATAAATGTTCACACGCCACTTGTCGGATTTACGAGTGAATATATGCAGAGACATATAACATCTCATAAACTACACTTCCACCAACAGTCTTCAGTGCAAAAATGCCTTTTCACATTCCCAGTATCATAGTATCACAACACCACAATATCACCCTAGCAACCCCCTTTCCTCCAATATCTAACACCATCTCGGTAAGGTAAGAAAGAAAATGATCTCTACAACCCAACATCAAACATCACGGACACACACACACACCATCGTAAAGCAAGTCAAGTCAACCTGCTAGGAAATCGAAACCCCCATCTCAAATACTCTACGAACTACCCACCCATACTGAATAAACCAAAGATACTGTACTGTAGCAAATAGTAAAACCTACACAGAAAAAGCTTTCAAATCCCACAATTTCAACTCGTTTCCACACAAACATGTAGGAATTAACACACCTTTCCAAAACATTTCCAATTTCCAACTCTGATACATCTACTCTAAAATGAGTAACGGAGTTCCCAAATTCCCAAATTCCAACCAAGCCAAAACCCAAGCTTCCCACAAGTAACAAGTGACAAATCCCTCCCTCTCCTGTTAACTTCTATTCTTCTACAGATAGACCCTTACCATTACACTTAACCTCGCACTTGCAATTGCACTTGCACTTACAAGTTGCTACGAGAGATAACTAGTTATATTTCTTCTAGTTATCTATCTCATATTCTTGCATTATTTTCTCCTTCTCCTCTTGATTGATTGATT